AGCCTAGAGTACCTTCCAAGTGTTTCCTATTATTATTATTATTTTTAAATTTAAATATTTTTATTTTTCCTTTGATATATTTCTGATTTCTCTTCGGAGAACTTCGAACAGGACGACGCTGACAAAAACCCTTTTTTGTTACTTGAAGCTGATGGGCAAACTCGGACAATCAGCTTTGTATATATCTTTTTTGTTATTATTATGTCACATTTTATTTTCTTTTCATAATTTCTAATATAGGTTTTCCTTGGGGATAAGAATAACAATTTACTTTAACTAATACAATCTACTTTATCGATACGTAATTTATTTAATTCTAGACGATACAAATAACCGGTTTAATTATACAATCTATTTTATCGATACGCAATTTATTTGACTATAGACGATACGAATAACCGGTTTAATTATAAACGATACGCGATTCGTTTTCTATTTTTATTTAATTTAGTATCACGGTTTTCGAAACGATCGGATCGCCTTTTGAATAATGCGCTACCAAACTTAACTAAAAGAGGTTTATAAACGCGTACCGTTTAATTCACGCGACTCGAATTCAAAGCTTTATTTTGTTTATAATAATGTTATATAGTATACTAGTATTTGCGCACATGCGATGCACGGAATGAATTTGTTGTAATATATTAAGAATATTTGGATTGATATATAATTATTTAAATTAGAACATCAAATATTATATAGTGCAATTGAATATGTGATTTGAATAATTTATGTGGTTTGATGTTATCATTGTTTTAATTTGAGCAAATAATTGCTCAATTAATAGCTAATGTGTAGGTGTACGCATGCGGTGCTGTAACTTTGGAGATTTTATTTATCATTGTTAGTATTTTTTATAAATTATGCAAATGTGCTCATTCTCTAGCAACTTAGTTATAATAATGAATTAATATCCTAATTCATTCGTATGGAAAATATATTTTTGAATGTATTAATTTACACATAATTAAAACATATTTGTAGACAACATTGATAGTAGCAACACAATCTTGTCCATCTTCGTCTAGAGCTAACACCTTCAGTCCATCAGAAGAGTGACTCGGGTGAAAATATATAATGGTAGAATATCAGTCAATTAGTAATCCTTTTATATTTTCAGTCAATTAGTAATATCATATTCATTTTCAGCCAATTATTCTTTTTTATTTTCAGTCAATTAGTCAATTAGAATATTATATGCAGTGATATTTTTACCTAATTTTCGTTCCATTTTTAATTGATGATGTATAATATTTTTATTGAAATAATTCCGTTATATTTTTAATTTACCTTACTAATTTAGTATCACGGTTCCCGATACGATCGAATTACCTATTGAATAACGTGCATACCAAACTTAACTAAAAGAAGTTTATAGACGCGTACCGTTTAATTCACGCAACTCGAATTCAAAGATTTATTTTGTTTATAATAATGTTATACATTATATTACTTCAACTTTGTGTTTTGGGAATGAATATTTAGCTACAATGTAATGTGTTGTGTGTGCTTCCAGCCATGAGATGGTGACGGAATTAATCAAATATATTAAAAGGTGGTATGATGGTCGTCAGATCAGCACAATGGGGATGGTCCTTTGCGTGTTGTTTCACGGATGCGATTAGTATACCGCAAGTCCGCAATTATGGCGTCAAAACAATTTGCCATCTTAAATAGCTAATATATTTATAAATACGCATAAAGGCCCAGTGATTTTTGTCCATGACATTTTCAGACGGTTTTTCTTGTACTCTGTGATTTCTCTGTGGTACCCGAGAAAAACTATCACGATCTTGCCCTTACTGTTGCATATTCTCTGTCTCTTTTGCCCTTGCCGATGCATCGGCGCTTAATAGGACCGGCAAATTCGTTTCGTTTACCGGCAAGCGCTGGCCCGTAAATGACACGTGCTTTCGTCAGCCACGTTTTGTCCTTCTCTGTACTTGTACTTGTATTGCCTGCTATGCCCTTGCTTGTTCGGTTTGAATTCTCTATGCCCTTGTGAATGCTGTCGTTTTCTCTCCTTGTGCTTGGGGTACAAGTGAACTGCTGGTATTATTGTATTATCGTTGCATTTGATGCGTGCTAGCTTCGTCATTTATCATTTATCATTATCATTTAGGAGAGATGAAGAGAGATTTACGAGTGCGCTCCTTTTGCTTTAAGGTCGTTGCATGTCGTTTGCTGGTTCTTTACGGTTTGCCCAAATTCCTCCTCAGAAATCTGTTGTTTGTTTATGTGTTCGCTGGAATACAGCTTCTCTTCGTTCTAGCAGCATTCCTCACCAGAAATGTGGTGTTTCTTTATGTGTTGACTGTTGTGGGATATCTCTGTCGCATGTGGTCTTTTCGCAAACAGCTTATGTGTTCGGTGTGTCTTTTATCTACCATTTTTTTCCCTTGGTGTGCATTTTGTCGTCATCAAACAATCGTGTTGCTGATATACATCGTATACGGTATATACATTTCAATTAATACTGCTGTATTTGTTGTCGTTATTACATTATTATATTTTTCCTTGCCGTTGCTTTTCAACTTTTTTTTTTTTTTACTGCGCGTCGGTGGATTTTCGAGTTCACTGCCTTGTCCTCTGCCGGATAGACTGGTGATAGCTTTTGTGTTCGGCCTGTCTATTATCGATCATTGTTTTCCCTTGGTGTGCATTTTGTCGTCATCAATCTCTTCTTTGACTGCGCGTCAGTCGATTTTCGTGTTCACTAGCTTGTCCTCTGCCAGATAGATTGCTGATAGCTTCTGTGTTCGGTGTGTCTCTTATCTGCCATTTTTCCCCTTGGTGTGTATTTTGTCGTCATCAAACACTCGTGTTGCTAGTATATATAGTCTACGGTATATACATTTCAATTAATAATGTCATATTTTGTGTCCTAATTACGTTATATTTTTCCTTGTCGTTGCTTTTCAACTTCTATTTGTTTTATGATGTTGAATGCCTTCTCCTCTGCCAGATAGACTGGTGATAGTTTTTGTGTTCGGCCTGTCTTTTATCGGCCATTGTTTCTCCTTGGTCTGCATTTTGTCGTCATCAGTTTTTTTTTTACTGTGCGTCGGTAGATTTTCGAGTTGACTGCCTTGTGCTCTGGCGGATAGACTGTTGATACCTTCTGTGTTCGGTGTGTCTTTTATCGGCCATTTTTCCCGCTCGATCTGCATTTTGTCGTCATCAAGCAATCGTCTTGTTGTTATATACATTTGAATTAATTCTGCCGTATTTTATGCCCTTATTACGTTCTTTTTCTTTGCCGTTGCTTTTCAACTTCTATTTTGTTTGGACTGCGCGCCGGACAGTTTTTGGAGTTTACTGATTTGTCCTCTGCCGGGTAGACTGGTGATCTGGAATTATTTTCCGCATTCAGTTCATGGTCCGTGTAAATGCAGGCGACGTCGTCTGGCCCGGTTTACTTAGGAGAACTGTAACGAATCTTTAAATAAATGCATTACGGCTAAAACCCGTCCCGTGGTATTACTATTGTTATTATTATGTCACATTTTATTATATTATTTTCATAATTTATAATATATGTTCCCCTTCGAGATAAGAATAACAATCTACTTTAACTAATACAATCTACATTATCGATACGTAATTTATTTGATTCTAGACGATACGAATAACCGGTTTAATTATAGACGATACGCGATTCGTTTTCTATTTTTATTTAATTCAGTATCACGGTTTTTGATACGATCGGATTGCCTTTTGAATAATGCGCATACCAAACTTAACTGAAAGAAGTTTATAAACGCGTATCGCTTAATTCACGCGACTCGAATTCAAAGCTTTATTTTGTTTATAATAATGTTATATAGTATATTACTTCAATTTTGTGTTTTGGGAATGAATAATTAGCTATAATGTAATGTGTTGTGTGTGATTCCAGCCGTGAGATGGTGACTAAATTAATCAAATATATTAAAAGGTGGTATGATGGAAAATAAAATGATGGTCGTCAGATCAGCACATTGGGGATGGTCCTTTGCGTGTTGTTTCACGGATGCGGTTAGTATACCGCAACTATGGTGTCAAAACAACCGTCGTTATATCGTAGACCGCGGTGTATATGCAATACAGTAAAAAACAGCATCGTTTTTTTTTTTTTTTTTTTTTGAGATAAAACAAAGAGTTCATTAATATTGATCCAAAGAAAGCGCATTACAAATGATAGATGGAGGGTTTGAAAATCACTCCGTGCAATCAGACAAAGAAACAGACTGCTTTGCTAACAAGTGAGTTGCCTAATTCACAGATCGCCTAGAAAAAGATAAACTAATCTGAGCAAACATGCTCCCATTAAGTTTTTAATGAAGCTAAAATTAAATGAAAGGAAGAAACCTCCAAATTTGAGTTGAGTCCTTGCACCACAAGAAGGGAGTCCGTCTCAACCACTACATTGTCAAAATTATTTGATTTGAGCCAGCTGAGCGACTCTCTGATTGCTACTGCTTCGGCTTCCTTGGCGTAATATATTCCTCTCCAGCATAATCCACGAGCTGCAACAAATAGGCCTTGATCATTTCTCAGAACACACCGAAATCCCATGTTGCCAGAGTGTTTATCAATTGTAGCATCGACATTCAACTTCAAAAAGCCTTCACACGGTTTAGTCCACTTGACAGACTCAGGGTTATCAACCTGCCCCTCAGCGTTGTCCTCAGCAACCGTAGCTAACCGATCTGTGTTAAAAATTTGTATTACTTTCACACATTGATTATGGATTGGTCGGGATGAGAATTTCCCGTTCCTGCCAAATTCTCTATAGAGACGGGACGGAGAGTATACTCCTGCCCCGCCCCATCTCGTTACCATCCTTATCAATTTAGACCTTATTCCAATTTCCAAATATGTATAATGATTAATTACGTGTACTATTATTGCTGGTTATTAGGGGTAGTACTGAGTTGACTCGTTTTACAATTTGCTGAGTTGGGTCAGGTCCGTTGTTACAGTAAACCCGAGATAATACAAGGGAAAAATAAATAAATAAATAAAAGAAGGGGAAAAAAAACGAAAAAAAGAAGAACGAACGTTTCTCTGAAGAATCGTCGATCGGCTAGGCTACGATTAAAATCCAACATTGGCAGTTGGAATTGGACGACTGAAGAAGAAGTTGATTCGAGCGTAGGGGAATATGGGGAGAAATTGCAGGATTGTTTCTGTGATTCTCTCACTTCTGCTACTTTCCATGGCTCCGGAATCTCTCGCTTACAGACCCGGCGACATCGTACCCATGAGCAAAATGGGTCAATACCATTCTGTTCGTACACTCCTCTGTACATACATCTCTTCATCTATGCGCATAATTTTACAGATTTATCAGCTAAATGCCTTATTTTGTTTGTTTATTCATAATCTCTTTATTCCTATCTTCTGATTAATTGCAGTCGAGGACTGTTTGGCACGATATGATAGGAAAGCACTGTCCAATGTTTGCCGTTAATCGCGAGGTAAGTCGCCGCATACTCAGAGAAAAGCCTTTAATTTTCTTTTTATTCTCTAATTTCTGTGTTTGTTTTAGTTCTATTACTTGTATCTTGGTATTGATTTTATTTATAATTGTGTGTGTGCGTGTGTTTGGGTTGAGTGGTAATTTACTAGGAAATTTCTTACTGTAGGCCTTGATTCCAATCCCAAAGCCGACTGGTTACACTGGAGCTGATCCTTATAAACTGTGAGTGTTAGTGAAACATTCTTACTGTAATAAAGTTACTTTCTTTTATTTTCATTGAATTTAGTGGGATATATTCTGTTGCTTGGGTGCTAACTGTGATGTTGGAAATCAAGTTAACTTTGTAGTTATGTCTAGTTATTTGTAAAATCTTAAATTAAGTTCAAGCTAATAAAAGAACAAAAAACAAAAGTACAAATTTTCACCAAGCATTTCTACTAGAACACAAACTTTAGATGTGTGACTTTTTCTGGATTCTCGATTGTGCATGAATTTTTGTCTGAAATAGATGCATCTGTCAGTCAGTCGTTCACAATTTTTGCTAGTGCATCTGGTCCTCCCACTACTAGACAGCGATAATGAGTGATTTACATAGTGGAATCAGGTATATGAATTTGGATTTTTCTCTGGATGGAAATTTGAAGGAATATTAATTTGGAGGTGGACTCTCTATGAGCATCCAAGGGATTCCATAACATCATATTGTGTCATTTACAGTTTGAAGCTAAGATGAGCTAAGATGCTTTGTTTTGTTTGTTCCTTAATGAATGGCACGCACCCTACCACAATTGTTATCTTAATCATTATTCATTATTAATTGAGACCATGACTTTTGTTTTCTCAGAATGTAGTGATATACTGTTTATTTTCCATAAAAATAACAATGCTGTGATATCTACTCACCTTACTATGCATGAGTTTCTAGGTTTTTATTCTTTAAAAGTTGTGAATCATTTACATGCAGGTCCTTCCAAGTTGGAAGAGAGAAATTTTTTGTTCCATGGTTACTCGTGGTTAACCGAAAGAGTACTGAAGTCCCACTGATTGATATGCATTTGGTAAGGATTTTCTCCTACTGAGAAGTTTGTCTCATGATAAGTATCTTTGTTTGTTTACCACTTTACCTATATATTTATATACATATTTCTTGATTTTCTTCACTTTCTTCTAATCAGAACTATGTATGGCTCCCTTAGTGAAAATTTGAAATTCATTGCTTTAAATTCATGGTCATAATAAATTATTTCCATGTCCTGCACAGAGGTACTCAGGGGGTGATTTTCTTGGTGTCACTGCTAAAGTAATTGATATGCCTCACAGCTGTAAGTCAATCTTTTTCTTGTGTATGTCTTTATCATTTGTAGTCAGCAGGCTAAATCTTGAAGGCAATATAAGAAATCTACATCAACATTTCTCCCCTTGCCCAGCCATGCATCCCTTCCAGGGGTGAATATAAAGAGAGGAAGCTCTTTCCTTTCCTCATAATGGGATCTTTTTAGAAAATGTTGTAACTGCATACCTTCAGATTTGTGATCTTCTTACATGTTGTGTAGCTTTATCAAGAAGATTGCGTATGATGATGTTGTTTTGCTAAAACATCACTAATTAATTGACTTCCTAGTTGTAGCCTTTTAGGGGCTAATTATTCTTATCTTACTGTCTGGACAGATGTTGAATTTCATCCTGACATCGGTAAACAATTTTGGGATCCACAACATTGGCCAAAACATGTGCTTGTCAGATATACATGGTATGGATTTTGTTTCACCTACAGTACTATTCTTGAATCTGTTTGTTGGTACAACTTGGTACTCTGTAAACAATTTCAGTGACATTCTCTGGTTTTTTAGTAAAATGATAATGAATGATCACTAAGATGAAAAGTTTGTTTCATTAGCAACTAACTTTTCCTCTAAAAATTAGCTCATAAAGATCATGAATCCATCATCTATATGTTTGGTGAGTTCTCATCATTTGTTGTTTCGCCTCTGATTTAGATTTGCTACATTCTTCACATGGCCATATTTTATAATCCATATATGTTTTTCTTCACCATGGATGTGATATACTGCACTTTTTTTATGGGAGGCCTTTGTGTTTGAATTTAAAAGCAATTCTTCAAACCCGTTGAATCCTTTCCTGTTTTAAGAGATTCTCTTGGCTCCTGCATGGCTGCACTACTACCCAAAAAGAACCACAACCAGTTTTCTCAAATTTTCAAATTCGAATTGGATACTGCCTATGCTTATTTGCAAATAAAGAATTTGTTCTCCTGTTAGGATTTGCATGAAGCACATAACCATATTTTAAAAATTGAAAAGATCTCTCTTGATTAATACCTTTGGCTCTTGTTCTTAAATAATTGGATAAATCCTTACTAATAGTGAGCTTGGAAGATAGGTGTACTAGTTGCAGAGGAGTGGCTAGTGTAATTGTTATGTAAAGGTGGGGGATTATGTGGCATTAGAAGGGGAGATTGTAGAGAACATTGGAAGCTGGAAAGGAGGATGAAGTATGAGAAACAGTAGGCAGGGTGCCAATAGTCGTGTTTTTTTTTTTTTTTTTTTTTTTTTTTTTTTTGCTTTTGCTTTTTTTTTTTTTTTTTTTTTTTTTCCTTCAAATCTGCACAAGGAAATTTTCACCACTACTGTAAACTGTTTGGGGTTTGACTATGTTCCTTCTCCTTACATGAGTATTGATCTATGTTATGATGAGAGGCTAGATTATACTAATATTTAATTTAATTCGTTAGCTTTCAGCCTTCTGAGTTGCTTTATTACTATTTTTGGATGTATAATAGGGAAGAGCAGTCGGAGATAGATGTTGCTTCTGGATTTTATGTTCTTTTTGGATCAGGTACGGTTTACTTGTTTCCTGACCAGCAGGTTTGACAATTCATCGAAGACATTGAAGGAAATAGGAACAAAAAAGTGTGACCAAATTTGAACCCATTGTGGGCTCTTTGGAATAGCGTAAATGTTTTTTTTGGTGTCGTTCAAATACTCTAAACCTGAACAAATATATTTCTGTTTTGCTTATAAGCAGGGTTGATGCTGACATTTATTCTCTCAATCTATGTTTTGCAATCTTCTCGGGATAAATTAGCAAGGTATTCTGCTTTCCCCTTCCTCCTCGAACGAACACTGCTAGTAGTTATCTATTACAGAGTAGTGTATCTCCTTTGAACCATGAATCCTGTAAGACGTTCTGCTTCTGTAAGAACGTTCTTGTTTTGTTGTCGAGTCCTCACTTTTAATTCGTTTCGTTTTGCAGATTTGTAAAAGAGACCGTCGTCGAAAGCAGTGCGCCTGGCGGAGGAATGGCAAAAGTTGAGTGATGGAATTTTCAAAGTTCTCAAAGTCACATTTTCACCAACATATATTCAGGAGAGGTTGCACTCACAAACTTGTACCTTTAGAATTTTGTTCAGTTTGGATTGTCGTTTTAAACTGTGTTGTAGGGTTTTCGGAACGGGGAAAGAATTTTATAATAAAACTTACTCCATATAGATTTAAAAAAAATTAGGGAAAACTTGTAGTATCTTTGTCAATACCCTCTTGATTAAGTTCTTGCACATCACATTACAAAAGTCCGGTGCGCACTCTCGGTCTACCTCTCGAATAATAACTAACTGTGAGTTTTCCTCAAAACTTACCTAAGCTACCTTAAATACTTTGCTTTAAATTGAGCAAATACCAATTTTGGTCCCACGAGTATTAGTAAAATGACAGTTTTGGTTCACATGTTTAATTCTTGCCAATTTTCATTTACGACTATTGTTTTAGTATCAATTTTCATCCACAACTATTATTTTAGTGTCAAAATTCATCATGTCGGTTACTCATCTTTTCAGACATGTCGAAATCTAAAATTTTAAAGGATATTTTAGTCTTTTTCAACTTAAATTTCTAATTTGAGCATTAATAAAGGGATTTAAACTTTAAAATTAATCTCAATTCACAGTTATTTTTTCATCCTACCTTAATTTTAGGGGGAGAATTGCAGATTGGGATCGATCTTAGAGTTTAAATACCTTTATGCTTAAATTGGGATCTTAATTTTAAAAGGATGAAAATACCCTTAATAATTTCATATTTCAACATGTCTTAAACGAAAGTGTGACCGCCGCGATGTATGTTGGCATTGAAACAATAGTTGTGGATGAAAATTGGTATTAAACAATAGTCGTGGATGAAAATTGGTAGGAATTAAACATGTGGACCAAAACTGTCATTTTGTTAATACGTGGGACCAAAATTGGTATTTGCTGGTTTAAATTTTACCTAACTAATGTACTTTGCCATAAATGTGGCTTTGCACACGTTATTAGTTACTCTTTTGATCTCATTTTGTAATATTATACTTTATTAAAAACATTTGTTTTTAAAATAAAAAATCAGAAATGCTCATCCAAACTATCCAAAAATTTCAATAAATTCTTATTTAACAATTCTTAAAGAAGTAAAAATAGCATTTATATGTATGACATTGGCCAGTCCCGTGTCGGTGCTACCTCAATCAAATCTGCTCAAGTGTTCAACTCAATTAGGTTTGTAAAAATATATTTTTTTACGTTTTCAAATTTTCAATATTAATAAAAGGTAAATATATATTCTTAAAAAGTACAAATAATTTTATGAATTTGTATTTCTTAGTTGCGTTTTTATAATAATAATAATAATAATAATAATAATAATAATAATAATAATAATAATAATAATACATTTCACTTTTGATCCCGTGACTATTGTACATGTATCAAATTTGGTCATTAACTATTAATAATTTAAAATTAGGTGCATGACTTTGTAATTTGTATCACATATGATCATACCGTTCAATTTTACGATCAACTATTGTCTATTTTTTAAATTTCAACGAGAAAAATAATTTCTCCAACAATAATTGGCCAAAAATACTCTTTTAATTAGAACATATTATATTTTTTTTGTTGAAATTCTGACAATAGTTAGCCAAAACTTGGCCAAAAAATTAGATGACATGATTAAATGTGATACAAATTATATAGTCATGTATCTTATTTGAAAATATTAGTAATCAAGGACTACAAATTACACGGTCATGCACATAATTTGAAAATATTAATAATAGTTAATGACCAAATTTTTTACATATACAATAAACAATGGACCAAGAGCCAACATTTTTCTAATAATAATAATAATAATAATAATAATAATAATAATAATAATAATAATAATAATAATAATAATAATTATTATTATTATTATTATTATTATTATTATTATTATTATTATTATTATTATTATTATTATTATTATTATTATTATTATTGGAACTAAAAAAATTGGGCAGCAATTAAAAGTAGGATGAATTTGAAGACCGGAATTGATGTATAACCATACACTTCCAGAAAGTTCAACGGATGGACCCGACGGCTATTAAACGAGATGAAGCTCCGTCATGGCATAATGACATATTATATTAATTATCAAGTACGGTGAATCTTCAAATTATATTAATGTTGTCACCAACATGTGCATGTGTTCAAATATTATTAGCCATGTATCATATGTCACACTACAAGCCATCATAATTATATTCTATCAAGCTAAGTTTATAGGTAGGTTATGGAGAGTCCCGAAAGGTTTTCTTGATTTTATAATCATGTTAGTTAACAATCAATCAACGTATATAATCGTTCAAAACAGGCATGAATTTTTCTAGGAAGAATAACATTATTAGTAATGGTAAAAGTCGTGAATCCTGTATAAGTCATATTTCAAGATTTATATGCACGTAGAAACATTATATTGTTGAATACCTTGCCTCCTAATAAGAAACTAAATCCCTAAAATATGTTAATTGGTTACAAATTGATTATTGACCTATAATACAAGTTAGTTTAACAATCTCAGTAAACATGCATGTTTAGATCAACATTTAATTAAGAGTAAATACCCAAAATAGTCCCTCGACTATAGCTAAATTCACAAATTGGTCATTGACTTTCAATTTCAACCAATTAAGTCTTTAACTTTGCAATTTTAACACAATTTGGTCCTCTGTCTATTTGACCGTTTGTTGATTGTGATTTTTGAGGATATATATGTAATTTCATGGTCCATCGTCGATTTTTTAAGGTTCCAGTTGCATTTCCAGACCGCACTGTTACATTTGAATCCACTGTTGAAAGCAATCTACCAAATCTGGTCACCTTTCTTCATCCTCCCTTTGGACTCAATGTAGTTGAGTTTGTATTAGAGCGAAGAAGACCACGTGTTTCCGAACCGGTGCAACGTCATCCTGGAGGCCTCCACGTGCTCCAACGAGAGCTGCAGGTTCTTCTGGAGATTGTCGATGACGGCGCGACCGCCGGCGTTGATGCAGAAGTGTTCGAAGGCCTGTTTGAAGTCGGGAATGTAGGGTTTCCATATGGGATTGAAGATTTCCAGCCGATTAGGTGAAGAGGAAGAGGAACTGCTCCAACACCGGGAGAACGAGCGGGCCGATTGTGGTTATGTTGGAATTGAGGGCTTCGCCGACGGTCTTTTGAGAGGTTGGTTCCTGCTCGTAAACGCAGAGGTAGGTTTTGTCATCGGCGCCCTTGTGCAATGGACCATGAAATTACATATATATCCTCAAAGATCACAGTCAACAAACGGTCAAATAGATGGAGGATCAAATCGTGTCAAAATTACAAAGTTAAGGACTTAATTGGTTGAAATTTAAAGTCGGGGACTAATTTGTGAATTTAGCTATAGTCGAAGGACCATTTTGGGTATTTACTCTTTAATTGACTCATTATGTTATTCCTCAATCTATTTTTATTTTTTAGTACCTTAAGGTGCATATATACATGCATAAATTTGTACTATATATAAAGTGCATAACTTTGCACTTAAAATACTATAACAGTAAAAATAGACAATACCTTAAGGTGCATAATTTTAAACCTCTAAGTGCATAAATTTGCACTTAAAAAACTACAAAAATAAGGATAGGCAACTAACTTTGAATACTTTCTCTATTTACCGTGCAAATTTCTTATGTTCATAAATTTATACTTTTAAACCTAAAGGTGCATAACTTCAACCCTTTAAATGCATAAATTAATTTGTAGTGTAAAGTGCATAAATTTACAGTTAAAAGAGTATAACAATAGAGATAAATAGCTAACTTTGAATACTTGGTGCAAATTTATTATGTTATTATGTGTGATGTCTTACATATTGTATTTTATAACTACAATATGGTTTTTGCACCCTTCACAAAAGTTGATAACCACAAAAAATGTATTACATTTGCTGCTGGATTGTTATTGAGAAAGGACATTATTGATTCATACTATACGTTTGGTTGTTTGAAAACTTTAAGAATGCAATAGGTTCAGAGCCAAGAATAATTATTACTAATCATTATCTAATAATGAGAGTAGCAACTCAAGAGTTTTTAAGCAGGTTAGACATTGATTTTGCATGTAACATATCATGTGCAAAGTTGATGATTTTGCATGCGACATATCATGTTCAAATTAAAGTTGGTGAAAAGGTTGAGTACTATATATTGAGTAAGAATGAGAATTTTAGGAATAACACTGATAAATAAATCTTAAAAAGTAATGTATTAAATTAGTAATAATTAGTTAAACATCACACTGCATGTCTAACAGAATATCCAATATTCAAAATTTAAAATATTTTTAAACATCAACAATATAATACATGCTCCAATTTAGGTTTAAAATAGGTTGGCAAACTCGAGGATGCCAAACATCTTTCATGCTCAAAAAATTGTCTACTCCAACATCTTATGTTGACGTGGAAAATTTGAGTTCATGAACAATTCAAAGTCGTGCAATTAAACCAAAATTTACATATTATCTCAGTTAATATTGACGTGGTGGTTAATTTATTAAAAAAATCATTTTAAATTTATTTTAATAATTGAAAAAAAAAAAAAAAAAACACCCTTCACAACCTTTGTCTCCCGCTAGAGATCAGACGTAGAAAATGTATTTGTTTCTGGCCTGAAGACGAAGAGAAGGCTTTCATCTTCGGCCGGAAGAAAAAAGAGGGGAAGGGTTTTGGGGTGGGGGTGGGGGGGGGGGGGGAGGGTTAAAAATTATTTGACTTAAATTATTAAAATAAATTTTTTAATGAATTAACCGCCACCTCAACAATAATCGGAGAAAACATGTCAGTTCTGGTTTAATTGCATCATTTTGGGCTACTCTTGGACACATTTTTTTTTTTTTTTTGAGTTGAATGGTCTAATTGTAATTTCACATGTAATTTGATAAATTGTTTGACACTTATTTCTATATATAAAAAAAATAAAAATAATGAGGTGTATTTACAAATTTTTTTATTAAATATGTAAAAATTTTAATTGTCTACTACTAGTTTCATGAAAAAAAGTATAACACTAATAATTAAAAAAAAAATAAAAAACCTTGAAAAGTAATGCACTAAATTAGTAATCTTTAGTTAAACATCACAATGCATGTCTAACAAAATATTCAAAATTTAAAATATTTTTAAACATCAACAATAATACATGCTCCAATTTAGGTTTAAGATTGGTTGACAAATTTGAGGATGCCAAACATCTCTCATACTCAAAAATTAAATTAGTCTACTCATACATCTACCCCACATTCTTATTTGTTATATATCATAATTTGTTTTTTTTTTTTTAATTTAATTTAATTTTATTTTATATTCCTTGATACGGAGTAGAAGACAACGAGAAGTCGAGAAGTAGTGTTGGGGAATCTAGTATATATGTACTTGCATTATGTGTATCATATTGTAAAATAAGGATTAATGAATTTTGTAAGATTTTAAAATTTCGTCCAATTCTTTTTAAATGAGTTTCCAAACCCGAAAACACATTTCAAAACTTTTTCTTCCTTATGAAACATTCTAAATTTTTCTAGAAATTGTTAGTTTATAAACAAATGTCTTGAAAACGTTTCCGAATGAGTTTCTAATAAGACATAACATTTTTAAAATGGAAATTAAAAATACTATTATTTTAGAATTTCTGTGCATCGCAGTCTGCCTTTTTGTTAATATTATAGGCATAATGTAATATGCCCAAAATTTTAAAATTTTAGAATTTTTCTTTTATATATATATATATATATATATATATATATATATATATATATATATATATATATATATATATATATATATATATATATATAAAATATATTAATGGTGATTTTGTTGGGGAAATTAAATGAATTGTCAGTGTGATGATTTCCCTTTCCCACGTACCAGTCCCCAACATCACGGAATTAAATGTAGCAAATGCTTTCATGTATATATGTTATACGTACAAATAAAATTTGTATAATCATAACCTATGGCATTGACGACGACTGGTAGGGATGCTTTGATCTTAGCAGAAAGTAAAATGTCTGGCCACTTTAGTGGTTAGAGATTTTGATAACATTAGAATAGTAGCATTTTCGAAAAAAAAAATTATATAATAATTTCTAAACCATAAGATCGAACTTCAGTGGAGGCGTTGTTAATTTTTTGTGTTTCATTAAGTTGAGAAAGTATATTTGAATAGATACTACAAGGTAATAGAGTTATTAGCATTCAAAAAAAAATTATATAACAATCCCTAAGTATATTTGAATAGATACTACAAGGTAATAGAGTCATTAATTCTGAGTATATAGTTTATTCATTATGAATACACATACACAACGAACTGTCATAAGCCAACACAAAGTACTAGTAACCGGTGTGGATATATACTTCACTAATTCTGGATATATAGTTCATTAATTCTGAATATATAATTCATTAATTTTGGATATATAGTTCAAATTATGCACAGCATAACGCCGTTAACGGCAATCGACAATGATTTTTTATTTTATTTTATTTTTAAGTCAGACAACATCATTTTTAATCAAAACGACGCCATTTTGCAACCGTGTACACCATGCAAATGGCGTAATTTGCGTACAATGACTCGTTGAGTCTGGTGGCCAAACGTATGCTGCAAAATCACATTCTAGTTTCGAAAGGGTACGTGTTATAAGTTTAGTTGAAAGTTTTATTCTTTGCGTGTAGGTATAGAGATTGAGATTTATTATACTCGAAACAACTCCATACAAGTTAGTCATAATTAGTTTCATAAAATTTTAAATTTGAGTCTTTATATGAGCTGTTTATTGGTCTTCTTGGTCAGACTGTTAATTTGAACTGGTCAAGTATGGATAACCAATGTTGTAAAAATTGACCTAGGCCTCCTAAGCCAGGGCGATTTCTGCCCTAGGCGACTTCTAGTTGTTAGACCAACTAACTGGCCGACTAGGCACCCTAGGCGCCGACTTGGCCGAGTTGATCTGAGCGCCTAATTAACTCGACTGAGTGTTTTTTTTTTCATACTCGGTACTCCTCTTCTATATTTCACTAGCCATGTACTCAATTAATCATCTAACATATATATGCAGTTGACTAGTTTGGGATCGGAGATTATAACAGTCTAATAACTGCTAGTCCTGAGTGAGGGGAGACATTATGAACAACTAAAGCTAGTTTACTTCATTATGGTTCATTCTTTGCTAGTTAGGATCACAAAGCGAGTTGCATGCGCTATATATTCACTAACTATGAACTTCGTGTTTCCTCAAGTGTACGTGTTGCACATGCTACTATGACTCAATCATTATATTGTGGACGTACTATGCATGATTCATTTTGTAAGATGATACACTAACAAAATTTATTTTTAGTATATTAAAAGTTCAATTTTAATATATCGAATGCTTTTTTTGAAGATTTATGTTTAAATATTCTTATAAGTATAGTATTTAAAAATGAATTTTATTATATTAAAAAGTACCCCCTCCCTCATTTTATCTGTCTACTTACTGTTCATTGGTCAAACTAACTCTTTGTTCTTTGTTTATTATTTTTAGTATTCTTTACTTATTTTTAAATTTAATTTGTTGTGTTTAATAGTATTTTTAATGTAGTTTCTAACTATATAAATTTTGTATACTAATACTAAACTTAATATTATGAAAAATTAGATTAAAAATAACTTCACTCAAACTTCGTTAATCGAATTAAACAGACACATAAAATGTGATGGAATTAGTAACATTTATTGATGTATTATGGTCCAAGATATAATTTGGTGCTATGGCTATTCGATGCAACGACAGGAGAACATCAAAATCTATGCCTATTCGATGGAACTAATATAGGGTGTGTTTGGTTCGCACATAGGAATCGGAATTGGAATGGGTATCAAATACTTGGTAATGGTAATGGATTTTAGTGAAAGTATTTAACATGTTTGGTAGTAGGGTGGAATGGAAATAGTTACTAATAATAGTGCTTGTAAATGAATAAGGGAATGAAACCCTTATTTTATTTGGGTATGGGTTTTTCAATTGATGGGATATTCGAAACCCATAGTAGTGTTATGCAAACCTATCAACCAAACAACAACAATCACTTTCATACTCATTCCTATAGGCAAAACCCACCAACCAAACACACCCATACTACGTACTCAACTACTAGGTCTATAACCTATGATGAACCTAGCTCCGGTCTCTAGAGTTTGGTCTGGGTCGACACTCATATATATGTCCTGTAACATTATTTATTTTTCACTATATAAAGCTCTTGAATAATGTAGAGTACATATAAGTGTCTGAACCAAAGTTAATGCATAATGGCAACTTCCCATTTCTATCCACCCAGAATGAAGCAGTGTATAGTAGATCTGATTCTTTGATTGGTCCAACACCACCAATAATTTTTTTTAATAATCCAAATTTCTCAATAACGTCAAACTATATCTTGAACTCCATGAACCCATTACAAGTTCATAAAAAATAAATTGATTCAATCTAGCTTATGCTAATTTGATTAATCCAAATACTAACTATTTTTTTTTATATAACCCAAATTTCTAAACTTCATCAAACTATATTTGGAGTCTCATGAACTCGTCCCGAGCTCATGGAGAAATAAATTAAGCCCATCTTGCTTATATTAGCTAGCACAAGGAGGTCAACCTAAACTCAAAGTGATAGGAATCAAATCCTACACACTCAAATTTCCCTCTATATAAACTCCACTTTCTCCCAGGCTTCAACACGCATACTAGGCTACACTGTTACATAAACACACACATATATATATCCACCGTTTATCTAGAAGAAGCTAGAACTCAACCACATAGCAGTAATGGCGGCAAAGCTTGCATGCATGGTAGTTGTGTGCATGGTGGTGGCGGCGCCGAGTGCGGAGGCCGCCATTTTTTGCGGCCCCTTGGTGGCGAAGCTGAGCCCATGCCTTAGATATATGCGGGGTGAGACCAAAGGACATCCCCCCGCCGCTTGCTGTGGCGTCATTAAGTCTATCAAAAGCGCCGCTACCTCCACCGCCGACCGCCAGGCTGCCTGCAAGTGCTGGACAGTGTTGCTCGAAACCTATCCACTCCTCGACCGGGGCCTCACCAACGGCCTCCCCGGCAAGTGCGGCGTTAATATGGGCTACCCTGTCGATATTGGCTACCCCACCATTGACTGCAACAAGTAAAATTTACAAACTTCATTAGATGTTTTTTTTTTAGTTGCCAGGAAACCCGTAACACACTACTGAGAGTGTGCACGGAGTAAACCTGACTTGTAACTTTAACTGATAAAGGATTACAAGAAATAAACTAACCTCAAAGACTACTAAATACAGCTGTTCTGACCGCGAATCAAACTTGTAACTTTATTGTTACTAAGTTGTCATGACGAACTTGTGTGGATTGCCCCTACAAATCCATATGTTTATAATATCCTAGATTTCAAGCTATTAATGAATGGATAGCTTATAACAAAAATGTGTTTTTTTTTTAATTTGGTTGATATTGTGGTGCAGGGTTCACTGAGCTAGCTAGCTGCTAGCTAGGCTGACGGCGGAGAGAAGACGCCGTGTTAAATATGGTGGCAATGCTATTATGATGAGGAATAATAAATAAGACGGGACTGCCTTTCCCAGTTAGGAATGCCGTTTGTTAGGGTTCCATCTTTGTATTAATTACAATGCAGTACGTACAATTCTCTGTACCCTAGTATTGGAGTGTTGTATTTACTTGCTTAATTATATTTGTACTAGCCTGGCACGCGATATGCTTAATGCAAAGGGGAAAATAGATGTCCAATAGAGATAAAAGTAGTTGGATGTCTAACAAAGACCGAATAAAGTAAATGGTTGTATATAATTAATCAATGGTTGAATGTAATAATGATATGTGATTATGCATGTATTGATACTTGTTGATACATAGAATTAGGGGAAAAAACAATTAATTATATATAGTCAAAAATTTAGAATATAAGATTAGTGAGGAGGTTTGGGTTATATGTATGCGCACACAAGGATTTAATAGACATGGAATAGTGCATATGAGTTGGTGTATAATAGAATGGCTAAAAAAAGAAAGAGTTTTAATTTACCAATGTGCTTTTAAATGTCGGTGGTTGAATTTTAGTCTCTAGTTTTTCGAAGGTTTTGATAAAAGGTTGTGTTAGTGAGTGTTATTATTTTCTATAGTATATAGTTATATTATGTGGCTCAGGTTTAATTGACTTAGGATTCTCTATTAGACAGGAGAGTCTTTCGTTAATTATCTTTTAATACTTTGTAATCGTTTCTGTTACAACTAATGAATCAAATTTGAATTCTAATCTGGTATCAGTAGATAGGTTACGATCATCTTGTTTCTCTCTACCTTACCTAAACAATCTCCACCGGAAAACAAAACGTCGAAACCATGTCGCAGTCATCGGAACGCACCGTCTCCGCCGGCGGCTCTCCCTCACCGGCGACCGCCAATCCATTGGCCGGTGCCCATCACCATGTTTCCATGAAACTTAATAGCCGCAACTTCCTCTTCTGGAAGACTCAGTTGGTCCCTTTCTTGAGGGGGCAGGACCTACTGGGGTATGTGGATGGCTCAACGCCATGTCCACCGGCGACAGTCGCAGCAGCCTCGGATTCCGGCTCAGGCACAACGCCGGCGACAGGGATGGTTCCGAACCCAGCGCATAAGGCTTGGGTGCTCCAAGACCAATCGATTTTATCGATGCTTATTTCGTCCATGTCCGACGAGGTGTTACACTTGGCCGTCGGACAGGAAACTGCAGCCGAGGTGTGGTCGTCCATCGTCACGGCGCTCGGCTCCTCCACGCAAGCAAGGTGCCTTAGTCTACTCGGCAAATTCCAGTCGCTAAGGCAAGGGAATCTCTCCACCGCCGAGTACTTGGGGCGGGCAGAGGTGCCCGTGGAGGCGTTAACTCAAGCTGGTCGTCCCCTTTCTTCATCGGAGTAGATGCTGTACGTTCTGAGAGGCCTGAGACAGGATCTGCGCGTCATGGCGGCATCCTTAACCGCTACCACCAACACGGTGTCTCTGCCGCAGCTCGCAGACTTCCTGAGTGCCCAGGAGTTCATAATCTCCGATGAATACTCCGTTGGCGACAATGGCGGGCAGCATACGGCGATGTACGCTGGCCGAGGACGGGGCTCCAACAACGACGGTGGTCGGCAGTCCGGCAGTGGGCAACACTAGAGAGGAGGCCGGAACAGTAACGGCCGCAATGGACGGGGCAGAGGCGGTCGGAATAGCCGCGGTCCTCCGAGATGTCAAATTTGTCGCGCTCAAGGACACACGGCGGTTTATTGCTTTAAGCGATATACGACGCAACCCCCGGCGGAAGCACATGTCGCCACTGCCACCGACGAGCTCCCTATGACGCCGTCGGCAGCCTCACCGGACGGGTGGTACCCCGACACCGGCGCCACCGCCCACGCCACGCCAGATGCTAACATGATGTCCCGCTCCGATGAATACACCGGCCCCGATGTCCTACGAGTCGGGAACGGCGCAGGTTTGGCTATCTCACGCGTCGGTCATGCATCGATCCCGTCCGTGTCAAAACCCCTAAATTTGTCTAATGTATTGCATGTCCCGAGTTTGTCTGTCCCGTTACTTTCTGTAAATAAATTCACTAAAGAAAACAGCGTTTACTTTGAATTTCATAACGACTGTTTTATTGTGAAGGATTCCAAAACCAGGGCAACTCTGCTTAAAGGGCCAACCTCCGGGGGATTGTACAAGCTTCCACTTTCCCGTACTCAGTTTGCGTTCGTCAGTTCCCGGGCCACTTCAGATATTTGGCACCGCAGGCTAGGTCATCCGCACGGTGTCATTCAGAGTCACATTCTCAAGAACTGTCCAGTGTCACCAAATAACCAAAAGTCGTCCCAATCTTGCACAGCTTGTCACCTCGGCAAGGCGTCGCGTTTTAAATTAGATAGGGTTTATAATTCCAGTCTAAATGTCTTAGATTTGATCTTTACTGATGTATGGGGCCCGGCTCTAGTAGTCTCTAGTACTGGTTTTCGCTATTTCTTATTGTTTGTAGACGATTACTCCCGGTTCTGCTGGTTTTATCCGTTACGGGTAAAATCAGACGTTTATAAAAGTTTTGAGTTGTTTCGTGTGCTGGTAGAGCGACAATTCTCGCGCTCTATCAAAAATATACAATCCGATCTAGGGGGTGAGTATCAAAAACTACACAAAATGTTTCAAACCCTAGGTATTAATCACCGACAATCATGTGCTTACACACATGAGCAAAATGGACGAGTAGAGCGCCGTAACAGACACATCGTCGAAACGGGTCTTGCTTTACTCGCCGAAGGATCGGTACCGATGGAATATTGGTATTTTGCCTTCGAGACTGCAACATGTCTCATTAACTATCTCCCAACTCCGGTGTTAAACTTTGAAAGTCCCTACTCGCGTCTATACAAAGTGTCTCCTCCATACACGTTTCTTTGAATATTTGGGTGCCGGTGTTATCCTTATCTACGGCCTTATAATCGCCACAAGATAGAATACCGCTCGGCACCCTGTGTCTTCTTAGGTTACCCCCCATCCTTTAGGGGATATAGATGCATGGATCGGTCGTCTGGGAAAGTTTATATCTGTCGTCATGTCCGGTTCGACGAGACAGTATTCCCGTTTGCTACGGAAATACCCGCCCCGTCTACACCGCAAGATGCATCACCGTGGGCATCCGGGCCTATAGTCCCACGACTTGCCCCGATGGTCCCGCAATCCAGCAGCACTCAGGAGACCTCAGAGTCTGAACCAGTGCCGCTTGCTCAGGAGCCCGCTCCCTTAGCCATTACCCGACCACCCCGTGTCAGGGCTAAGCGACGGCGAACCGAACCTCAAGATCGAGGGCATGTTATGCGGCTCCGTCATCAGACGAGGGGCACAGATGAGCAATTTCAGGCTCTACATATCACTACTGACCCAACTTGTTATTCCCAGGCTATAGGGCATCCACAATGGCGTGAAGCCATGGATCAGGAGTTTAATGCGCTCCTTCACAACAACACTTGGCGACTGGTTGCTCCTGAACCCCACATGAATGTTATCAGCTGCAAGTGGGTGTTCCGAACCAAGCGCACCGCTGACGGCTCAGTCGAGCGCTACAAGGCCCGTCTGGTAGCCAAGGGCTTTAACCAGGTTGCAGGCGAGGATTTCTTTGACACTTACAGTCCTGTAGTCAAACCGACTACAGTCCGGCTCCTGTTCTCTCTTGCTATCTCTTCTAACTGGACGATGCGTCAGTTAGATGTCCATAATGCTTTTCTAAATGGACACCTAGCCGAGACTGTTTATATGAAGCAGCCGCCAGGCTATGAAGATCCGACGCACCCGGATCACGTCTGCCACTTGCAGCGCTCTCTTTATGGATTAAAACAGGCCCCACGGGCCTGGTTTAAGAGGCTTCACGACTTCTTAATTCTTACAGGGTTCCAGTCATCCAAAACTGATGTCTCGCTCTTCCACTACACGACAGGCTCATCACGGGTGTTTCTACTTGTGTATGTAGACGACATCATCATGATGGGGAATGATGTTGTGCTCATTAACACCTTGTTGCAAAAGCTTGCCACCACTTTTAAAATTCGTGATCTAGGAAACCCGGGATTCTTCCTAGGGATTGAGACCATTTCGGCTGAAGGCGGTTTAATTTTGTCTCAGAGGCGGTATATGACAGATCTTCTCAACTGCGCCGGGATGCTTGATTGTAAACCCCTTACTACACCTGCCGCTGTCTCCTCACCAGCGGTTCCTACATCGACTCCGTATGAAAATCCGACGCAGTACAGGCGCATTGTAGGGGCTCTACAGTATTTGACGATCACAAGGCCAGACTTATCTTATTCAGTCAACCGACTATGCCAGTTTATGCATACTCCGACAGATGAACACTGGAGTTTAGCCAAACGAGTGTTGCGCTACATTAAGGGTACTATCAGCTACGGCTTACGAATAGCTCCTTCCATGTCCACGACTATCCAGGCTTTCTCAGACTCAGACTGGGCTGGTTGCCCGATCGACAGGAAGAGCACAAGCGGGTATGCTGTTTTTCTTGGAACCAACCTGATTTCATGGCTCTCCAGGAAACAACGAACAGTAGCACGATCTTCCACAGAAGCAGAGTATAAAGCTCTGGCCGATGTCTCTGCAGAAGTTACTTGGGTGGTCTCTTTACTCCGGGAACTCGGACTACACTCCTCTCAACCAGCTACTCTCTGGTGCGACAACCTTGGCGCTACTTATCTATGCGCAAATCCGGTTTTTCATGCCCGGACGAAACATGTTGAGATTGACTACCATTTCGTCCGTGACAAGGTTGCCTCAGGAGACTTCGTAGTTAACTATGTCTCGACCAGAGATCAGCTCGCAGACATCTTCACCAAGCCGCTCACAGGGCCCAGGTTCACGCTTCTTCGAGACAAGCTCAATGTTGTCTCACACCACCCTTGAGCTTGAGGGGGTGTGTTAGTGAGTGTTATTATTTTCTATAGTATATAGTTATATTATGTGGCTCAGGTTTAATTGACTTAGGATTCTCTATTAGACAGGAGAGTCTTTCGTTAATTATCTTTTAATACTTTGTAATCGTTTCTGTTACAACTAATGAATCAAATTTGAATTCTAATCGGTTGTACATCAATATTTTATATATGTGTGGGAGTAAAAATTAGGAGTATAAAATAGTAGTATACATACTATTTATAAAAAAGATACTGGCCGTGTTTGGTAAAAAATTGACCTATAGGCTAATTTTGGCTTATTTGACCACTATTAATTGTTTGATTTAGTTAAAATATCAATATAAATGTTAGATTAATTAGCTTTTTGCAACTCCAAAAAGACTAAAATTCAAAAAGCTACTCCAAGCAACTTTTTCAATTAGCTTTTTGAGAAAATAAATTATACCAACCAACTATCAACTAACAGCTAATTTACCAAACACTTTTTTACAATCAGCTAAAGTTATCAACTATTTATACCCTCAAATTAACATAATCAGCTAACAGCTAACAACTATCAGCTAACCGCCATTTTACCTATGGACGCAAATTTTGCATTTGTAAAATGGCGAGACGTTGAAAATTGATGTGGATATGATTACAGGGAGCAAGTTGAACAGAGTATGGTTCGAGTATGCGCTGCATTAGGAATTAAATTTGGTACATTAAAAAATATGTTTCGTTTTCTGTACATTTGGTGATGCAGTCAACAAATATTGAAGAGATTTTATAAAATACGAGTACTAACAATGGTGGGCTTTTGAATACCTAAAAGTGACGCTTGTTGGGGTATGGAGTGCATTTAATGCACGTTTATCAATAATCACATTGAACTGCGAAGAATAATTGATTGTTTCTCTTAAAAAGAGTTTTTGATTATTTCATTGGTTATCCTAAATGCTAAATTTCAGGAGCAAAAAAAAATAACTGTTCATCTTCTTGATTGAGTGAAGAGGGTTATGTTTATCAAACCAACGACGAATCTAAATTTTAAGGTCCTTCCTAGTAAGTTAGTGGACTTCATTGCGGACGAGAATCAAGCGGAGAAACCTGAAATCGTAAAGGAAGTGATTGACCGTCTGAAGTATTCAGGGCTTTATGTCTATCTAACCAAGTCGCTAGACGGGTTTTTCCAATCCGCGGTGACACAGTTTTACGAAACAGCTAGCACTGTTGGAGATAAGATTAAAGCGGTTGGCAATGGGAACATGGTTACTGTAACATCGACAGAACTTGGTCGAATCGGATTGCCTTGTGAAGGGCATGTGAATTTGGATATTGAACCTGTACATGCTCAGTGGCTATGGTCGAAAATAGCTCGACTGGGTTATCTAATCGACTTCCAAGCGAAATTTTTTTTTTTTTTTGAAAATAGACATGCAGGGCTTATTTGAGATAGTGACTCTTTGCGTTGATGGGAGAGCGGGAAATCTGGATGGATTAACTTATAAGAAAGCAAGAGCGGTGGAAGTTATTCTGAGAAAAGAAAAGGCAAATTGGGCACGTCATATTTTTAAGAGGATGGTCGAAGTCATCCGGAATGTTCAAGGAGTAAAACATGCAAAAGTATGTAGTTTTGGAATCATGATTTCTTACACATGCTAGAGTGTCATGATAATGACATTGGCGATAAAGACTTCAAATTAAGTAAATCTTAATTCCTCTTTAGGGCCGATAAGTAAAAGACATCAGTTATTCAAAAGATGTGTCGTCGTGCTCGTAATGCTTTAAGAATATTGAAACGGACGATGCAAAACGATATTGTAACGATGTCGCCGTTGTGCTCATAATTTAAAGGTAGTTAAATTAAATAAGCATGTAAAACAATGGATTCATATCTTTATATGTCACTTTTAGTATACATCGAACACTTATTTTTGAAGATTTATGTTTAAATATTTTTGAAGTGTAGTATTTAAAACTGAATTTTAGTATATTAAAAAGTAACAATGTATTATGGTCCAAGATATAATTTGCTGCTATGGTTAGCTGGGATGTATAAATCCAGTGGTACGGTTTTTGGATCCATGCAGCGACAGGAGAACGTCAAATCGCAATGGGCAGGTTTTGGCTCTTACTTGCGCCAATTATTATGGAACCCAACCCCCAATATGAAACCAAATTAAAGCAAGCATACGTGATATGATCTCAAAGGTGGACATATATCAAACTCTCTTCTAAATCTGACACCTAGCTATTTACGTTGGTGGGGTATGCAGTATGCTGCCGTCTAATTAAGAGATGGACCCCCTCAACGATATCGTCTAATATTTCAGAAAATATAATCTTATGTAGAACAGTAAAAGAGAGAGGGAGATTTAGGTCTTTTCACAAAGATATTAATTTTTGTCAGATGTATAGACCCCATCAAATTATGAAACTAATTCTTGGGCTTGCATGGACAGCTCAACTGGTTATAAAAGTTAAAGTTTGAAAGAATGACTAGGGATCGATTCTTACTAGCGGCAGTGTCAAGTTGAGATTCGTTTTTTTTTTGGAAAGAATGAATTATTCCATTTAGAGTTTTTTTTTTTTTTTTTCTTAGTCACATCTACAAAAATTCTTCAAAATTTATGTCTATTTGATGGAACTAATGTACTACTCGACTACTAGGTCTAGTACAGTTGTTACAAGGTGGTATAGTAGCTAGGGTGCCTAGCCAGGATTCTTATTACCTATGTTGAAACTAGCTCCGGTGTCTAGAGTTAGGTCTGGGTCGACACTCATATGTCCTGTCACATTTATTTTTCCCTACATAAACCTAATGAATAATGTAGAGTACATATAAGTGTCTGAACCAAAGTTAATGTGTAATGGGCAATGGCAACTTGCCATCTCTATCCACCCAGAATGAAGCAGTGTATAGTAGATCTGATTCTTTGATTGGTTGAACTCTAACACAACCACCAACTAACTTTTACTTTTTTTTAATAATCCAAATTTCTCGACTTCTTTGTCAAACTATATCTTAAACTCCAGGAACGTAACCTACTACAAGCTCATAAGAAAAAAAATTGAGTCAATCTAGCTTATGCTAGGTTTGTTTGTGGAAATAATCAAACCTCACCTTATAGCTGAAAGCAAGTTTTAAGTGGAGCTTCTCATCCGTTAGACTAGTGTAATGGGCACCAACTAATTTGTTTAACCCAAACACCAACTAATTTCTTTTATATAACCCAAATTTCTGAACTTCGTCAAACTATATCTGAGGTCCCATGAACCTACCCTTAGCCCATAGAGAAATAAATTGAGTCAATTTAACTTATACTAACACAATAAGGCGAACCTAAACTCAAACTCCTATTCATGATAGGAATCAAACCCTACTCGTCACTGAAAGCAAGTCTTTAAGTGACACTTCTCTTCTCGTACACCAGCCAGGGTCATGGGCATTAACTAAATTTTCTCACTGCCCATCTTACATACCCACCCTACAACACATGCAGTTCACACTCAAATCTCCCTCTATATAAACCCCACTTTCTCCAAGGCTTCAACACACAACACAAACACACATACTAGGCTACACTGTTACATATACACACATATATATCCAGCGTTTATCTTGAAGAAGCTAGAACTTATTAACCACATAGCAGTAATGGCGGCAAAGCTTGCGGTGAAGGTTGCATGCATGGTGGTTGTGTGCATGGTGGTGGCGGCGCCGAGTGCGGAGGCCGCCATTGTGTGCGGCGCCTTGGTGGGGAAGCTGACCCCATGCCTTAGTTATGTGCAGGGTAAGGCCAAAGGACAGCCCCCCGCCGCTTGCTGTGGCGCCATTAAGTCCGTCAACAGCGCCGCTTCCTCCACCGCCGACCGTCAGGCTGCCTGCAAGTGCTTGAAACAGATGGCCGGAAACTATCCAGGCATGAACATTGGCGCCGCCGCCAGCATCCCCGGCAAGTGCGGCGTCAATATTGGCTACCCCATCAGCACCTCCGTTGACTGCAACAAGTAAAATTTACAAACTTCATTACATGTTTATATATATATATATATATATATATATATATATATTTATTTGCGAGGAAAACTCGCAGCAGACTCTGAGAGTGTGCATGGGGTAAATCTGACTTGTGACTTTATTAACTAGTAAAGGATTACAATAAATAAACTAGCCTCAAACCAGCTCAAAGATCAATAGGTACCACTGTTCTGACCGCGAGTCAAACTTATAACTTTATGATTACTAAGTTGTCCTGAAGAACTTGTGTGGGTTGCACCCACAAATCCATATGTTTATGACCCTATTTGGTAAATGCCTAAATGGCAGTTATCTTATTGAGTTAATTAGATGGTATAACTAGTTGATAACATTAGTTGACTATTAAAAGATGTGGGTAAATTAGCTGTTAGCTGATAGCTGTTTGATATAATTTTTTTTTTCTCAAAAAATTAATTGAAAAAGTTGATTTGAGCAGTTTTTTAAATTTTAACATTTTGGAGTTAATTTTTTTAACCAAAGCAAATAATCAATAATAGTCAAATAAGCTAAAATTGGTTTATAGGTTAATATTTTATCTAACAGGGCCTATAAATAATATCCTAGATTTGAAGCTATTAATGAATGGATAGCTTAGAACAATAATGTGGTTTTTTGGTTGATATTGTGGTGCAGGGTTCACTGAGCTAGCTAGCTAGCTAGGCTGACGGCGGAGAGAAGACGCCGTGTTAAATATGGTGGTAATGCTAGTATGATGAGGAATAATAAATAAGACGGGACTGCGTTCCCCGTTAGGAATGCCGTTTGTTAGGGTTTCATCTTTGTATTAATTACCAGTGCAGTATGGTTGTGCAGTACCTACAATTCTCTGTACCCTAGTATTGGAGTGTTGTATTTAATTACTTGCTTAATTATATTTGTATTTCTATAATGCATGCATGATGTATGTTCTTCTTTTTCAATTTCTGCTTGTTATTTCCAATATTTACTTACGTACTTTACGATAGATCAACCCGATATATAATGCTTATATTTTATTATTATATAATCCGGAATTTTAGCGTGCATGCCTCAAAATATTTCAGATTCACCAATGTATGTACATTAATACGTACATATACAAACCAGATTAAAGGCAAAAAAAACACATAAGGAATATTTGGTAAATAGCTCTTAGCTGATTGAGTTAGTAGATTTAGCTAGTTGATATCATTAACTAATTGTAAATAGATGTTTAGTAAATTAGTTGTTAGTTGATAACTGATTACATGCAAAATAACTTTCTTAATAAGTTGATCGAAAAAACTGTATTGAGCAACTTTTTCTATTTTAGCATTTTGGAGCAATAAGCTGTTACAAAAATTTAATTAATCAAACACTCATATTTGTTATTTAACCAAGTCAGACATCTACTAGTGGTCAAACAAGTCAAAATTGGCTAATAAGCTAACTATGTTACCAAATACGGCCAAACTCTCCATACATCTTGGTTGTGTTGTCAATAATTGAAGGAAAATGATAAATGTATTCCTATGGAGTAAAACTCTGCCATGTGTCATGATTTGATTTATAGAAGAGAAAAATAATAATAATAATAATAATAATAATAATAATAATAATAATAATAATAATAATAATAATAATAATCAATAGTTAAACTGTTAGGGCAATAAATAATAATAATAATAATAATAATAATATTATTATTATTATTATTATTATTATTATGATATAAAATTAAATTAATTATTTTAAAGTTTATATCTAAAACTAAAAATAATTTAAAGATAGTTAAATAAGTATGTAAAACAATAGATTCATATGTCACTTTACATGTTATCGACTAATAGTAGAGAGTTAATTTATCAAATACTCCGTATTTTTTTCAAACCGCTAATGCTAAGCTATATGCTGTCAACACAATCCACTATCAATTATTCACTAATACAATCCATTATCAACTATTAAGTAATATAATATTGTCAAACACTACTAAGAAAGAATAAGTCTAATTATTTGAGACCTTCTCATGTGAAAATGGTAATTATTATAATAATGCTTTTTATATATCTAAAATGTACGGAGTAATACTTTTATATATATATATATATATATATATATATATATATATATATATATATATATATAAGCATTATAACTTAGCTAAAAAATATTATATGTCTCACGTGAAATGGTCTTACACAATATTTATTCACTAAGAAATAATAGCTCCAATTAAACCATACTATTACGCCAAAAGTTATAATTAGTAGAAAAGGCGTAATTTTAGTTCCTTCATAGGACCTGCCAACCTGCACAACATGTCATATACCAATTGTCAAGATCAAGCGTTTATCACTACGTCAAAAATTATATATAGCTTACTGGGAAGGGCGCAACATTCATATTTTCTTATACTTGTGTAACAATCAACGTCACGCATCGAAGGCATGATACTGAACTCCATTCTTCAAGTTGCCGCCCAACATGCATGTGCCATGTAGCATTATTTGTCTTTGATTGCATTTGATTTAATATCTAACTAATCACAATATACATCACTCCATTATTAAGTATCTTTATCTATCTCAAAGTTTTGACCTATATATTAATGTAATAGCATCACTTCTTCTCCCTTGATTTTGTGTGTAGTTGACAAGACTAATACAAATTAACTTCTATGAGACTGACATATATGCCATGCTCAACCTTCGACATCAATTAAGCATTTAAGGATTTAGGTGGTTGGTGGTCAGTAATGAAGACTCATCACTATAAACAGTCTCTGAATTGAAGCCAAGTAGCCTAGAAGTTTGATAGGAAATAAATAATGTTGCATATATATAGTACGTGATGGCTTATGTATTGTTTTGACTTATGGAGTTAACAGCTTTGGATGTTGTGTAGGTTTGAATGGACTTATAGCTTGAGTTGGGAACTTTTTAAAAGATAATTTTTTATTTTTCTTTTTGGAAACCACGAGGTGGTCTAGGTTTTTCTCTGTCGGTTTATCAATCAGAATCGTCGATTGTGACGAGAGGAATCAAATCCGAGTTATCTCAGAATTCTTCCCTACAAAGAGAGTTTATTTATCACTTGAACTACACTGTTGGGTTGATTTTTAAAATATAATAGTAGAGAAAAGAGTGAAAGTTTTAGAGAGTGGACAAAAGAAGGAAAAACTACGAGATTACTATTTTGTGCAGAGAAAATGGTAATATATAATTCCAATGTAGTTTTCTCTCTCCTACCAATTACACTCACCATAGGTACAAAATATAGTATATGTCTAACAAAATACTCCGTAAAATAATAACATTTCTATTTAATTTTTAAGAGAATAATAATTAGCTTTAATTAAGTCAATTATATGATTTAATTTTCTTCCCTTAAATAACCACCGTTAACTTTCGTTGATTTGTGGTCGTAGGAGTTGGTTTGCTGGATAATTATTTTAGCTTTAAACAGATTAGAAATTATTAATTGAATCGAGAGTATCATAAAATACTTGTAGACTTGTAGCTCGTTTGGTGGGTTCACTGAAATTGTTTCTTTTTTTAAAAAAATAAAATTGGAATTTCAATTCTTTTAAATTATGAATTTTCCGTGTTTCATTCATAGAAAAAGAAAAATTATGTCGAATAAGTGATTAAGTATACATACCATAATTCTCATACCAAAAGATCACAAGTTTGATTCTTACTTCATCCATTCTCTTATGTTTGATTTCATAAATTTCGCAAATTATGCCATGGAATCGTGTTCACTGAGAATGGTGAACACAAGGCAAAACGACGTCGTTTTTAGGCAAAAAAAAAAAAAATTCGCGGATGTGGAGTTAACGGCGCGCGTTTGATCAAATTATGAATTTTCTGTTATGAGATTATGAATTTTATGAAAATTCATAATCTCATAACAGAAAATTCATAATCGCATAACAGAAAATTCATAATCTCGCAACTGAAAATTCATAATCTCATAACAGAAAATTCATAATCTCATGGTTCCAAAGTGAATGTGTAGGCATGGTTCCAAAATGAATGTGCAGGCATGGATTCATAATTTATGAATGTCCGTGATTTCGGACGGGAATATGTAGGCATGGTTCCAAAGTGAATGTGCAGGCATGAATTCATAATTTATGAATGTCCGAAATTATGAATGTAATGAAAATTCATAATCTCATAACAGAAAATTCATAATCGCATAACAGAAAATTCATAATCTCATAACTGAAAATTCATAATCTCATAACAAAAAATTCATAATCTTATAACAGAAAATTCATAATCTCATGGTTCCAAAGTGAATGTGTATGCATGGTTCCAAAGTGAATGTGCAGGCATGGATTCATAATTTATGAATGTCCGTGATTTCGGACGGGAATGTGTAGGCATGGTTCCAAAGTGAATGTGCAGGCATGAATTCATAATTTATGAATGTCCGAAATCTTTGTTCACCTAAAATTAAAGTGAAACCGCAAAATGTAAAAATAAAGAAGAAAAGTCACACAATTAATTAAGAAGAAAATAATAATAATAATAATAATAATAATAATAACGGTGTACTAACACCGTTGGAATCGTGTTCACCATAAATGGTGAACACGGTTCCATGGCATAACGTCCCCATAAATTTGCCGTAAATTAATAAAACATTAATTCATAGCCCAAGTAAGGCCCAGTAGGCTTTGTATAACTAGCTCATCAGTTAATTGAAGCATAAAGCAGGCGGGCCTAAATAACCTAGTCTCAATGGATACACGATGATCACTGAGCCCAAAGGCCAGATATTTTAAACTCTTTCAATTGATTTCTCCTTTTTTTTTTTTCTTTTTTTTTTTTTGCCCTTTTTATAAAATGCGTAAAGAGCAAATTTCAATTTTAGTTCTGGACTATATATTATGGCATTGCTACATCTAGTCATATTTTTTTAATATTATCATATTACATTTCTAACTTTGAGCAACTTATACTTTTAGGGTGTCTTTGGAAACCCGAGAAATGATGTCTAGAAATCATTTTCCTAGTTTTTGGTGTTTGGCTACCAAGTGCACGCCTCTTCTCTCTACCCTCTCCTCATGTCGCCGGTGAATTGCGTTCCCATGGGCGGATTCGCCGTCATCTAAATCGAGGAATCATCGTCGTTGGATTCGTCGGGGTCGGAATCATTGTCGTTGTGCCCACCATGGGCAGTGGCGGAGATGATGAGGAAGAGGAGTAACGCCACGCCGGATCCCAAAGAGTGGCCGGCGAAAATCATCTTAAAGTTCTTCTCGTTCTCTTCCCAGAGCGTCCTCAGAGTCTCGGACTCAGTGTTCAACAACCAAATCGCAACCTTCAAGAATCCGTGGTGCACGTACATGCCGTCGAACATCTGCTTCCCGATGCGATTATCGAGGAGGACCTTGTAATCGCTTTCCTTGCCCATATTAAGGCCACGACTAGCGAGCACTATCTGGCGGTAGTCGTGGTCGAGGTAGATCAAGTACGACAGCGGAAATCGAATTTGGGAAAAGTGGCCACCATGGGTGGTGGCAGAGATTAAATTTTAATTAAACAAAATAATTAAAATATTTAATTATACGATTCAAGTCATTTCCTGAAAAATGAACCAAACACACAAAGATAATTTTTTGATGTGCAATCAAACACCAGAAAGGAAACTATTTTCAAGAAAATAACTCATTTTCCAGAAAATATTTTTCAGAAGTCATTTTCCTGCTTTCCAAACGGACCCTTAGTCCTTGACTATTGTGGCATTTTCACATTTAGTCCTATTCTTTTAATTTTGCCATATTACATCAATGACTTTGGGCAACTTCTACTTTTAGTCCTCGACTATTGTAGCATTGCCATATTTACTCACTTTCTTTTAATTTTGTCATATTTAATCTCTCTCTCTCTTTCTCTCTCTCTCTCTCTCTCTCTCTCTCTCTCTCTCTCTCTCTCTCTCTCTCTCTCTCTCTCTCTCTCTCTCCACACACATACACACACACCACGCACGCACGCACACGCGCACGCGGCACGCACGCGTACACACACACTGGGCTGATCAATTTAGTAAACAATGAATTTGTCATGTCTGATCAGTCCATATCCATTCCAACCCGTTTCAGGATAACACATCTGATCTCCAATCTTCCCATTTCGCCCTTCAATTTTATCCTCTAAGTTCTCATGTCTTCGAACACAACCTCACACTACCGATTTGGAAATCACTTCATCCTCTACCGTCCCCCAAATTTTATTAAGTATGAACAAATCTTAGTTTGTTGATTGCTTAAGGTCAGCAGTAGAAGAGCTTAGAAGAACAAATCATCTACACACCGCCATAGCAGATTATTGATCGAAGAAAAAACTTCGGCAACCATGACGATACAGAGAGCTTCCATCCATAAACAGTAAGTTTTGATTATTTTCTACGAGTAAAAAACAAATTAAATTGGAAGATCTAAACCTTAAGTTTATAATTTTACAGATCTAACTACTACGGGACAAAATTGAAGTTTTACAGCTCAAGATCAAAGTGTGAAACACTGCTATTTGTATATGCAGCCCAAGATTGCTGTGAATTAATTCATCATCCATAGTTGATACACAGGAGTTCATAAGATCTGGTAAGTTTAGATTATTTTCTACTAAAACTTTCATTTAAGGTTATTAGATAAAAATACTAACTATTTAATCTATCACTTAATAACTACTTTCATAAAATAAAAAAAATACAAATAAAAAATCATAGGAATAGATATATAGAAGGGGAAAAATCTCATATACATGCATGCAGTTGAAAAAATAGATTGGCTTATTCCAACTTTCGGCTAACACAAAGAAGGATGCGTTAAAGATAAGTAGATTAAATCTATTATAATTTTTTATAATAAAATGCTGTGTGTACTGTTAATTCTTCCTAATAAAGATTAAAATTCTTTTTAGTTTTTTATCATGTTAGAGTGTAAAAATGTATGTTTGATATAGAATAACAAACAATGAGAAACTAAATGTTAAGTACCAAAACTCCACTATTAATATGGTTTAATTGATTCGAAATTATGAACTTGTTTAGTAAATGGCGGATCTGCCAAAATCTTGACTCGAAATTATGAGCTTATTTAGTAAATGGTGGATCTACCAAAATCTTGACTGATCCGTCATTGCATATGGCGTAAACTTTTTCCAAAACACCCTTATAAGTTTTTTTTTTTTTTTTTTTTTTTAACAATTGATTAGTAATTAGGGCTCCTTAAATGAAGAAACCTTTTTAGCTTCTCAGCAAGTCCGCATACAGTTATGTTTCGAAAAGTATAATTGCTCCTCTTATATAAAGGAAGTAGCAAACAAAAGTCGAGCAAGAATACCATTTGAGCGGAACCCAATTGGTTGCTATGAGAACCAACATCATTCTTGACCTAAATTGCTGGTTCTTAAATAAGCTTTACACACGACGACATAGTTGACTAGTTTGTTTAGTTTGAACACTTAGAAAAGTCTTCCAACACCTTAATATAATGAGAGAGTGCATTAAATGTATATTTCGTCTCTCATAACTTTTTAACTCTAGTTGTCTACATATTTAATTAAGAATTGTCTAATCAACACGTAAATAAATATTACTCCATACAAATTAATTGATTACCAATTATTTCGATTCAAATAATACTTTACCCATAGCAAAATAAATGAAATTATTAACTAACATTTGCTTTAACTTATTGTAAAAAAGAAAAATATATCATTTTAAATAATTTTACGTTTATTAATTTGTTTCTAAACACTTATATACTTTATTGATTATTCATTTTAACTAATATTTACTTTGTAATACTTAATAATAACTAAAATTATTAGTTAATTGCGTCAAACATTACGTCAATACTCCGTAATTAATTCGAAAAGGAAAAAAAAAAAAAGAGTAAATCCAATGGATTCAAATTTCAAACTTGAAACAGAGAAGAGCAACAAAGTTGAGTAACGAAATTCAATTCTTAACTACTTTGGGGGCTTTTGGGCAAAGATTTTCCAGAATTGGGAAAATTCTTTTCCGGACGAAAGGCGGGAAGCGCGTGACGACACCCGAATATTTTAAGGGGAGAGAGAGAGATAGAGAGAGAGAGAGATTGTTTAAAAAAACGGTTGATGCCGGTGGGGACCACGATTGGCTTTGAACGGCAACGGAGGCCGTAGATCTTAGCTTCGTGATGGAGATCTGACGGCGATGCGCGAGAGTCAAACACCCATCGGGACGGGTCTCTTTGACCACCGCAGGAAAATCATGCGGCTATCCTTAAAAAAAAAAAAGGAAAACAAATTTTCATACTGCTAATAATTTTCCAACTTTGACTGGGCTGTCGCCTTCAATTGGCCCATCTTCGTTGAATTTTGAGGCACTTTATATTTTTATTCATTTCAAGAATTGACCGTATATTTTTTCTTCAATTTTTTTTTTTAAAAATAACGAAAAATATTTACAAATTACTATATGGAGATATATAATAGGTTACTTTTATTTTTATATGTAATAATATATAAATCATATAAAAAAATAAATAACACTAAAAAAATCTTATACAATGAATTCGACTTAGAGGGGGTAGTATTTTCTTTTTCCAATTTTAATCGTAAAATATACTCTCATTTTAATTGGGGTAGTAAATTTTAATCGTTAAATGAAATTTTATAAAATATTACTCCCTCCGTCTCATTTTACATTTAGTGTCTAATATTCATTTGTTAAATCAAATCTTTCTTATTTACTTATTATTTTTAAATTTAATTTATTTTTAATTTTTTTTTTTTAGTTCTACTGACCTTGTTACAATGTAATATCTGTTTATACTTTTCTAATTTACTAACACACAAAGAGTCAATACCTCACACTATATTTCGACCCCAAAATCTTTAGCATATAATTTATATAATAATACTAAATTTAATATTATAAAAAATTAAACTGTAAATAGTTCTCCTTATATTAGACTGGGACATAAGGAATATAAAAGTTGGTAAAAAGTACTGTATAAAAAATAAAAATTATAATATTACCAAAAATAATAATAGTGAGTAGGAGATAAGGAATTAACAAAAATGAGAAGTGTTTTCTTAACTAAGAAAAAATTGTTTGTGGGAGTTTTGGTTGGTTTGACTACTGCTTTGTACTCCATCCCTGTGAGAGTCTGTGACCCCATCTGTCTCTCTCTCTCCTCACCGCACTACAACTTTCTTTCTCTCTTTTTTCTTCTTCTTCTTCTTCTTCTTCTTCTTCGTCTCTGTTTGCTTTTTCTTTCTCAAAAATCTGCTCTTGCCTTTCCCCATTTATGTAATCATTGATTTGTCCTTGGGGTGTTTTCCCTATATTAACAGATAAATTTTTTTAAAAATCAAAGTTCAAAATTGTCTGTGGGTTTCAATTCACTGCCTGGGCACCTTTTAAATTATTAAAGATCAAATCTTTGACCCCTGAACACCTCAAGATCAGTTGAATTTGCTCCAGTAATCTCCTCCAGGTTCGTTTTTATTTATCTTTTTGCTGTTCTTTCATCAGACTTTGTTTCTGGTCATTTTCTGGTGGGGAATTGGTCTGGGAGCTGGTGGAATATCAAGAAAATTGTGGGTGGCAAGGTGTTTATGTCATATTCTTTTAATTTGTTTGAAATTTAAAATTATAAATTAATTTAATTCGATTTGGTAAAATTTTCCCATGAAATCATGGTGAGTCTGAGGAGGCCACCCTCTCTTTCCTTCAAGTAATCCATTGCTTACTGTGCTGTAAAGTTGAATTTGGTGAAAATAGAATTGTTAATATTTTGGTTGGAATCATTTATTGCCTTCACTGTTCACAAGTGCTAATATTGTAGAAAGCATTTCATTATGTGTGTGTAAGATGTGGGATTTGGGAAGCTGGGCATAGCATGGCTAAGATTTAAGCACAATCAGATGTATAATGGCTGAAGGGATATGGTACAATTTCTTGAGGGAAACATAACAGTAGAAAGGCAATCCTGGACCCTCAAATAATTTGTTTGATTTTTGATGCTTTGATGGTGGTTCAATTTGTCAGAAGTCAGTGTCCCCATTTCAAGAAATACAAGTATAGAGTAATGAATTAAAGAGGAAAAGGGTCTTCTGTGTTAAGTAGACCTTCTTCATTGTTCAAGGTTCTGGGGTTGTACTTCTTAACAGAGTTCATATGCATTTATTTCATTTGTTTGATGTCATTTACTGCTTCATTGTTCTCGGGTATTTTAGCCGATTGGGACCTGACTCTCCCACTTCGTTTGGCAGGTGCTTAGAAGCTTTGTGATAAGAAGATGGGATGTTTCACGGTTTTAAAATATAAGAAGAAACCGTCTGAGAAGACTATCCATGTCAAACGTGTTAACCCTCAGGATCATTCCCCTACAGCAACAGCGTTGCCCGAACCCCCAGTACAAACGAGGACATTGCAGTCTGCTCCGCCGAGTTTCAAGACTAGAATAAAATCCGTTCAGTCAAATAACCGAGTAAGGAGCAGTAGGACGAGAGCACTATCTGCACCTTCGAGTCTCGACACTGCAGAACAAGTTCTCATGGACAGTGAGGAGCAGGAGTCGAGCAAAAGTCGTGTGGGATCGATGAAAGAATATCAACCGCCAAGTCCTCAGCCTCTTCCTCTCCCCTCACCCCAGAACGCTGCCACCCTGAAAACCATGGGGAGCTTTAAAATCGGAAATGCTAGCGGCCCTCTCACCGCCTCTGGTCCGCTCCCGCTGCCTCCCGCCCTGCCCCCTACACTGCTTTCTACGGGAAACCTAAAGAACTTTACGTATGAAGAGATTGCAGCTGCATGCCACAACTTCTCCCCCGAACGATGTATGTCAGAAGGTCTTTCTTCTGTTTTGTACAGAGCCTCGTTTGGGGATGATCTGCCGGGCGCAAAGAAGCTAGAAGCCACTGTCACTCGTCTCCACCCTTCATCTCAGGTATTGTTGAGCTTTACATCACCAGCAATGTTGAAAAAATCGCTAGGCGCCCTCTAGGCGCTTGGGGACCGCCTAGGGTGCCTAGAGCGCCTAGGAGGCCGACCGCCTAGAATCGGCACCTAGGAGGCTGACCGCCTAGAATCGGCGCCTAGGAGGCTGACCGCCTAGAATCGGCGCCTAGGCGCGATTTTTGCAACACTGATCACCAGCTTGAATCTAATTACTACTTTCAGCACCTTTCGTGCAAATTTGGAATAAATCCTAACGATCTCTTTTGCTTTCCAGGGTTTGAAAGAATTCGTGAATGAAGTTAACACCCTAGCTTCATTGGAACATCCTTCGCTTTGCAAACTAATTGGTTTCCATGCACGCGAAGGCTCGGGGGAGAGGATGCTAGTTTATGAGAGGCTTTTCCATGGAAGCTTAGACAGGCTTTTATTCGGGAGATCAGATGGACCCCCGATAGATTGGAATGCTAGAATGAAAATTGCATTCTGTGCTGCACAAGGGCTTACATTTCTCCACGAGGAAGGACCCTTTCAGGTAATTATAACTTTTTTTCTGAAAATAATTAATGTGGAATGGTTGGATTCTTAAGTTTTTGGATGGGAAGTCTTTGGATTATGCTGAATTTCCCTTTTCCGTTTTGACAGGCAATGTTCCATGAATTTTCAGCTGGCAATATACAGATCGACAAAGATTTTAGTGCAAAGCTTTCAGGATATGGTTGCATTACCCACATTCAAGAAACTGACATCTCGTGTAGTTCAGCTGTAAGTGTAAAGCATGCTATTAACTATTAAGTGCCTTTTTTTTTTCTACCTGAGGGTGTGCACTGGGTAAACCTCATGGTGATATTCCCGAGGATCGCAACTTATTTTTCCTAGTCCATTTCTTCAGGCGATTGCAAATCTTTCTGCGGAGACACTGGAGAAGGGTTTGCTAACCCCTAAGAGCAACGTTTGGAGCTTCGGGATTGTGCTTCTTGAGCTTCTCACGGGCAGGAAGAATTTGGATAGTCGGCATCCAAAGGAAGAATGCAATTTGGTGAAGTGGAGCTGGCCCTTTCTGGCTGATGATTCTAGGCTATCACTTATCATGGACCCCCAGCTGAAAGGTCGGTTCCCTGCCAAAGCAGCTAGGACGATGGCCGACATTGCTCAAAGATGTCTGCAAAAGGACCCGTCGGGAAGGCCCACCATGAGAACCATAGTGGAGCAGCTCAAGACTGTGCAGGACATGAAGTATACTTCGCGGTTTCCACTTCAAGAGCCCGGGAGAGCCAGCATGAAGCACAGATCAAACTCACCTAGCTTGAACGGGATCATCCCCCCACCCCCAATGCTAAATCTCTCCCCTTTGTCACCCTCCACCAGACCCCCGCCTATTTCACCTACACAGCCACCCCTATCTCTTCCCCCTCGGACATGCTCCTTCTCTCTGGAGGACGTGGATCAACATGAGAGCCGGAGGACATCATCTTCATCTGTAAGGAGATCCAGCGTCGAAGGATTTTGATTGTTCATATAGAGAGCATTTTTTAAATTCTTTTCTTTTTATCGAAAAGTGGTTTTTACATGAAATATAGAAGATAAAGATGTGGTTCCTCCACCCTCTTTCTCTTAGAGGAAGTAAATATGAGGAATGGCATTTTGTAGATATGCTTTTTCTTGGGTTAATTATTAGTTTCATCTACTATAGGGCTATAAAGGAGGGGTTGTAGCTTTCCTTGATTGAATACCATTTCTCAGTGTGTATCTGTGTAGAGATTATATTTGGTTAATTACTTGTATAAATATATATATATATATATATATATATATATATATATATATATATATATATATATATATATATAAATGATATCATATTTAGTTAATTGATGCAACAACAAAAAAAAGGCTTCTTTAGCAGAGTTGTTTTTCAGAAGCTTACTGAAACAGAGATTAACAATTTTGCAATGGACAGGGACCTTGTAGCACTAATAATATTTTTTTAGGGAACTAAGATAACAAGAAAGAATCAGGACCACGGTTAAAAAAGACGCTAGGTGTCCTCTAGGCGTTCATTTTTTTAAAAAAAAATTAAAACAAAAAATTACAATACCTAATTACTTAAAAGCCTAAAAAATATTTATAAAATTATAATTGATTAGTTTAATTGTAAATTCTATACAACTTTAGAGATTCAAAAGAAAAAAAAATTAAAGTAAAATGGTCAAAACTCAAAACCTAAACTGAAATAAATAAGTAAATAACAAATAAAATAAATAAGTAAATACCATACCTGGCCGGCAACTGGTGGAGGCAGCGACGCGTGGGGGTGGAGGCGAAGGCGGGCGGTGTGCGGGCGGCGGGCGTGCGCGTGGCAGAGGCGTTTAGGCGGACTGAAGAGTGAAGTTGTAGCTTCTGATTTCTGAGCCCTTAAAACTTGAAATCGCGATTTAATTTTTTTTTCAAGGGTTATTCGTCGAAACAACGTCGTTTTGGCGAATAACCCCTTAAAAAATGGCTTCAGACGGTTCGATCGGCTGCCTAGACCGTCTAGCCAGCTGCGGAAGAGGCGGGCGGCAAAGGGGTGGTGGGCATGGGCGTGGCGGAGGCGTTTCAGCGGACTGAAGAGTGAAGTTGTAGCTTCTGATTTCTGAGCCCTGAAAACTTGAAATCGCAATTTAAATTTTTTTCAAGGGTTATTCGCCGAAACGACGTCGTTTTGGCAAATAACCCCTTAAAAAATGGCTTCAGACGGTTCGACCGACTGCCTAGACCGCCTAGCCAGCCGCGGAGGAGACGGGCGGCGGAGGGGTGGTGGGCGTGGGCGTGGCGGAGGCGTTTCGGCGAATTGAAGAGTGAAGTTGTAGCTTCTGATTTCTGAGCCCTGAAAACTTGAAATCGCAATTAAATTTTTTTTTTTTCAAGGGTTATTTGTCAAAACGACGTTGTTTTGGCGAATAACCCCTTAAAAAAATGGCTTTAGACGGTTCAACCGCCTAGCCAGCCGCGGAGGAGGTCGATTCCGGCATTAATCGACGCAGTCAAGCGTCATCAATTGACGCCTAAGCGCGATTTTTGCAACACTGATCAGGACTGACTTGCAAATACCAAAGTTACTATTTGAGTGACGAGAAAATCCGTAATTACTTTACGAGGATTAGCACCAGATAAATCCTTCCAACAAAGGACTATAAAGATATAAACTCGTAATTACTTTTCTTTTGATCAATTAATGGACTCAAACTAAGAAAGTTTATCTCACTAGGAGTTGCCTCAAAGCTACTATTTTTTCCAAACCGACCCCTTAGCTCTTTTTTATTCCATTTTGTGCAAAACTGCAAAACCCAGACTGGTTCCTGGTATCTTTTCCTCAAAATGTCAAAACTTTCCAGATTCTCAAACTATCCAATTTCCCAAAATTTCAGATTCTTCTTCTTCTTCCTTAACGATGCGTGAAATCTACGGCCTTTTTGTCTCATTTTTCTGTTTAAAGTTTCGAAATTTGTCGAAGTTGCCACTTTAGGACTCTAAACAAAGACTCCGGCGATTACTACACTCTCTCGATTTCGATTTCCGCGGATAAATTTAATTCTTGTTACCAAGTTTGTGACTTTTAAGGTGTCTAGCGGACGAATGATTGTAATCCAAGGTTGAAGATTTCTTTTACTGCTGCTGGAATGGGTAAAAATGGTAGAGCTATTGCGCTAATTCTCGTATTCGTATTCTTAATTGTTTCAAGCACTTCATCAAACGACTCTAATCCGACAACACCGAACAATTCTTCCACCACTCCGAAACAGGTAACTTTTTCTCTCATATTAGTGTATGAAAGATGAAGATGATTTCCTAAAAAAGATTCGGTTTTTAGGGTTCGCCAGAAAATACAACAGTAAGTGATAGTAAGGGATTGAATTTGAGTTCTGCAATTGCAAACGCTAAGCCTAAAGAGATTCAGGGGAGTGACAACAATACTAAAGTGGATTTGAATGGCTCGAAAGATGAAAGTAAGAAAACTGGTGGGATACCTCCGCCGAATTCAAAGAGTAATGAAGAGCAAGGGAAAGTAGTGAATGGTAAAAATGCAGAGGAGGGGAGTACTGAGAGTTGTGAGGGGGCACTACTGAAATGCGAAATTGAGAAGACATTGCTTGCCTGCATAAAAGTGCCAAAAAATGGTATGGTACTATCTTTCTCTAGCAATCTAGCATAATGTTCAGTACATTCATTGGATCATGTTCTAAAAATTTGAATACGGTTTGCTACTTTGCAGCCTTTGCTAGTACTAGTATAAGTCCTATTGTTGGATCTCCATAGTTGCCATTGTAACTGCTGTCGTTTGGGGAGTTAATCCATATCTCCACTGCTATATGGTTAATGCCACTAGTCTTTACTTTCTTATCTTTATGCCAAACTAGCATTTGCGAAGTTAATCCATATCTCCACTGCTATATGGTTAATGCCACTAGTCTTTACTTTCTTTTCTTTATGCCAAACTGGCATTTGGGTAGTTAATCCATATCTCTACTACTATATGGTTAATGCCGCTAGTCTTTACTTTCTTTTCTATATGCCAAACACGATAAAAGAAACTAACAAATATTCTTCTTCTTAAACAGATTTGTCATGTTGAGTCAAAGTATAGTTAAAAACTTAAAATTTTGACTTCCATAGATTTGGCATGTTGAGTCAAAGTATTGTTAAAAACTTAAAAATTTCTGGAGAATAAATGTCCATTGTCTTCTATATGGTTGCAGGATCAAAAGAGTCATTCATTGTGCTTCACAATGAAGGAGAAAGCAGATTGGAAGTAAAAGTCTATACCCCAACATCAGAGAAAATAGTTTCTGCGCCTGTCGAAAAAAACAAGACAGTAACGGTATGTATTCACATCAGTAATGACACTCTTTCTCTGTTATGTTTTCATGTTTTCTTTGTTTTGATTATATTGATATTGAATTATAATCCTTACTTTGTACGATCCCACTTCTATAGGTAAATATATCACCAACTTTGAGCAAAGGCCCGCAAATAATAGTTGATGCAGGAAATGGTAACTGCTCGCTTCAATTGCGCCATTTTGAATCTGTGGACAGTCTTCTGCAGCAGTTCTCCCTGTATTCTAAACAAGTGACTCCCATCTACGGTGCCTACTTCCTTTTTCTGGTAGCACTACTTTTTGGCGGGACGTGGGCTTGCTGCAAGTTAAGGAAAAAGAGACAGCATGGTGGAATTCCTTATCAAGAACTCGAAATGGGGTCACCAGAATCTTCTTCTGCCGTAAATGTGGAAACAGCTGAAGGTTGGGATCAGGGTTGGGACGATGATTGGGATGAGGACAACGCAGTAAAGTCACCTGGAGGACAGCGCTTTGGAAGCATCTCTGCTAATGGCCTAACCGCTAGGTCTGCTAAGAAAGACGGGTGGGAAAATGACTGGGATGATTAGTGAACAAGAAGGAAAACTAGTGAAATTTTGGGATCAAGACAGACACTGAAACACTATACAATATAGCCAAAGAAAATGTAAAATCTTGTAATCTAGTGTGACTGTAAATTCTTTTTTCGCGACACAGAAGTTGCCCTTTTTCCTCGTCGCCTGTATCATAAAGTCTGCGATATATATATTCTTGTGGAATTCCATCAACCCATCTTGTTTTTGTGCTGACAGCACTTTACAATTATTATAATCACTACATCCTGCCTGGTTTATGCACACTCCATATCAAAATTTGTGAATGTATACTTGTAGCAGTTTAGCTTTGTATGAGAATGGCTTTGGAAACTTGTTTCTAGTTGGGAATTTGAACTGTGAAGCCTCCATAGAAACAAAGTTTTGAACACTGCATTTTGTGTCTCTTTTGAGGATGAGACTGGAGAACTGAATTTGCAGGTGCCTGTCCATCAATTGCTATCCTTGATTTACAGGAAAGCCTGCAGTTGCTATCCGAAGGTGCGTTTTGGGTGAATCAACCATTATGCCGATCAGCTAAAATCTTACATTTTTCCATCTTCTTTTTGACACTAAAATTTAATGGTCGCATTCCTGAGACTAATTTGGGTTCAGCTCGGGTTATGTTATAGAATTTGATTCTTTTTTAGAAGAGTATCTGATGTAGAGTTGTCTTTTGCTGAGTTTGCCTTTATAATGGTATGTTGAAACCCATGCTTGTTAGGACTGGGCCCATTATGTTATAGTTTTTCTGTATAAATAGTTGTAATCTGTACAACACTAGCACATGAAATAGATTAAACCTTTCATTCTTTAACATGGTATCTCTTTTTCTAGCGCCACCACTGCCCATCGGAGATCCGCCGCCGCTGCTACTGTTCACTTGTTCTGGCACCTGCGTTGTGGTTTTGGGCCTCACTGAAACAGTGTTGAAATGCGTTGTGATTTTGGGCCTCACTGAAACAGTGTTGAAACCCTAGGCCCGTTAAGAGTGAGTCCATTATGTTATAGTTTTTCTGTATAAATAGTTGTAATCACTACCACAGTAACATGTGAAATAGATTAAACCTTTCATTCTTTAACATGGTATATTAACAACTTGCTTATCAACTATTCGGTTGGTTGAATTGATTGATTAATTGTATAGTTAGTTATCCTCATTACTTTCTTCCTCCCACTCAAAGAAAGAAAATGCACTTTAGGTATGAATGGGAGGAGGGCTCCTTTTACTTTACTCCATGAATGATTAAACTAATTGAAGGCTGTCCATCCACTGAAACATTGACATGTCCCCACTCATATATCCTTTTTGTAAAGCATGATTCACTACTAGGAGCTTAATCAAAGTTTAACATGGAGTCCATCATATTGTCTTGTTAAAGTGAACCACAATGAATGTAAAGGCAAATTTGAACTTGCTCCACTTCTACCAGTCTCTACACTGAACCACCATTATTATACAGTACTGTCAACAGAATATATATATATATATACTATATATATTGTTAATTCTCAGCCAAACTGTTGCTACTATCTAAGAGTATGTATTAGACAAACCCTGCTCCTGTATAACAGCTCGCAAATTACACAGGAAAAGTAAATCACACTAAGAAGACTTAGTGCGATGGGCTTGACAAAGAGAGTGTTGACAAGAATCGAACTCATGACATTCTTCACTCACTCGACAACCCTAACAACTATCGTTGAGTCATTTTCAAGTTTCATGCATCTATAGCTTCTGTCCAATATAATGACAAATCAAGAAACATTGCCTAGAGAGAGATTGAGTGAGAACAACAAAGGATAAGTTAGGTTAATCACATAAACCATTATATCTTACTATAATGTTGTTATCTGAGCACTAAACTTTGGAATATTAGCAGTGCTCCTCAATGTATATTGGCATGTCCCAAGAATATGATAGCAACCCATCAGCCACATGTACAAAGTAAAGAAGATGCAGAGAAAAAAGTGCAATGGTAGTCTAGCTCTTCCATGTGACAAGACTTTATTCATGAGGTCCCCTCCCCCCACCCACCCACCCACCCACCCAAAATCAAAACTTCGGAGCAACCCCAGCCAAATTGGTTCGACTATTGGCTTGGTAACAGGTAACCAAAATGTTCCAAGTTCAACTTCTATGGGAGCAGTTTATTGGTCTTCTTGGTTTGAACCTGTGAACTATGGATAACCTAGGCTGGTTTACCTCCTTTGCTGGGTAGGACCACAAGACGAGATTTACTCGGGGCCCAAAAAATCAGAACTTGAAAGAAAAAGAAAACTAAATCCAGTAAATGGACTTCACATCCAAGCATTAATGATAACACCAACCTTATTAATGAATGAGTATCAGATGGATCATCCCCATTTTCTGACAGCTTCAATCCTTATCTGTCAAGCTTTCAAGAATATATGCATAGACGCATGCAAGAAACTATTGAGTGTTCCCTGACTAATAAAAGTGAAAAGAACTATGAAAATTTCATTTGCTTCAGAGTGTTAAATACACAAAGGATCTGTAATCACAAGAATTTTTTAACCTTTCCAACTAGGCTTCTGTGGATCCTACAGCTTTGCTTTAACCCAACAAAAGTGTGTGGTTCAGGCAACTAAAGTCTAAAGAGAGAAGAAAAACTGTTCACTTAATTGACAGATCTGAGGCTAAAGCTGTGAATTTTCAGCTCTGAAAAAAAATAAAATTGCAGCATGAAAACATATGCTAGAGAGTAAAACAAGAAACAATTTCCAAAAGGTTCTGTATCAAGGATTCCTTTTTCATTGAATCAGAATCCAAAAGGGGCCCCCAAAGTTTCAGCCAGTGAAGAGAAACCAATGATTTAAATACAGCAAACAAAAATTAAATAAATTTTCAGAGATGCCTAAAACAAAAATAATACAGAGAAATAATAATAGTAATAAAGAAGCAACCTTTGGATCACTCTTCACTGAAAAACTCATTCTGTAATAATCTGTGGTGTTTGGCTTAAAACTTTGTTTGACTTCATTCCAGATCATCTTGGCTTTCTGTAGAATACTGGATGAGTTCCAAGATTCTGATCACTTCTTCCATGTCGGGCCTATTTGATGGCACTTGAGAGGCACAAATGAGGCCGAGTTTTATTACTGGAATTGCCTCGTCTATGGGAAAGTTACCTTGCAGCCTGTTATCGATGCAGTCCTCGACTTTCCCTTCCTCCAATGCTCTCCTCACCGTATCACACAGCACGATCACGTCATCCTCCATATACTCCACGGGTCTCTTCCCAGTCACCACCTCTAAAGTCAGGACGCCAAATCCATACACATCACATTTCTCGGTTATTTTCACCGTTTGGCATGCAAACTCGGGGGCCATGTAGCCTAATGCGCTCTGGATCTTGCTGCTTAGAACGTAGCGGTCTAGCACTGGCAACAACCTAGCTAGCCCGAAATCCCCGACCTTGGGATCCCCCGATCGGTCTATAAGGATGTTGGTTGACTTCATGTCGTAGTGAATTATGCTCATCTCGTGTAGATGAGCTAGCCCTTTGGCTACACCGAGTACGATTCTGAACCTCTGCTGCCACGAGAGGAGGAAGCAGCCCTCTTCCTCGTGGAGTTTTTTATACAAACTTCCTCCACATACATATTTGCTAATGAGGAGCTGTAGCGAAGGAGTCCAATAGTAACCTTCGATAACCACCAGGTTCGGGTGCCTAACCTTTCCAAGCGTTTGGACTTCTCTCTCGAAATCTTCCTGGGATTTGATTAAACTCGCAACGTTGAGTTTCTTTATGGCCACCGAACGCCCATTTCTAAGTTCAGTCCGGTAAACAGCCCCAAATCCACCCCGTCCAAGCTCAGAATCTTTGTTCAGAAGTGCTTCAGTCCCCGAAGCAAAATCAGCATCACCCGAGAACATAACAAGTTTCCCATAGTTAGCTTCAGTGCCATAGGAATGACTAAATTCATCCCCGCCAGAAAATGTCATGAGTGCAGCAGACTGCCTCGAAGATGAGCTCACGTGCGAATTGAGAATACTTATAGTAACTACACCAAGGGCGATAAAAACAGCAGCACCAATGGCAACAAGAGACGATACGCTGAGCATATTTCTCTTATGGCCTAGAGACGAAGTAGAATTATGACCCGCATAGGATGAATTGGGGTCGAGGACAATGGGTTTTTGATGAACAGAGGGGCAAGAATGGTTGAGCACCGCCCCACAAAGGGACGGATTTCCGGTCACTGCTGAGAGAGGAATCGCGTTGAAAAAGCCACCAACAGGGAGCTCGCCTTCCAGATGGTTATGGGAGACATTAAAACCGATCAGGTGGGAAAGGTTGGTCAATTCTTTCGGTAATCTCCCAGAGAAACCGTTGAAAGATAAATCTACAATCTTAAGGTTGGCTAGCTTTGCAATTGCTGCAGGGATTGGACCGGTAAGGTTGTTCTGTGACAGGACCCTACACATTAGAAATGCAATTCTTATAGCAAAATACTGTATAAATTCAAGAGCTAAAACACTAAAGCAAGAGGCTTTATCACTTTATCAGGCAGAGAACTTACAAAGAAGTTAAAGACGAGCAATTTTGGAGGTCCGCAGGAACCACTCCAGTCAGGAAATTGCCTTCGAGCCTCAGCTCCTCCAACAAAACTGCTCGTCCAATTTCAGACGGGATGCTTCCATTTAAACTATTGTGACTCAAATCAAGAACCCGAGTCTGATATAGTTCTCCTAGAGTTGCTGGAATGCCACCAAACAAAGAGTTCTTGGAAACATTCAAGACCTGTAGTCCGCTAAAATTCCCAATGGCAGACGAGATTTCACCAGTTAACGCATTTGAAGACAAGTCCAAAACTTGAAGACTTTGATACGAGGACACTGTAGGAGGATATTCAATGCTCCCAGTAAACCTGTTCCCAGAAAGAAAGACACTAACCAAACCCAACTTGAAAACCCATTGAGGTAGGTTACCATTGAACCGGTTCTGGCTGGCATCTAGAGCCACAAGGTTAACACAGTTCATCAAAGAATCCGGCAAGCTTCCCACGAACCAATTGTTCGACAAATTCACCTCCTTCAAGGACTGAAGATACCCTATGGAGTCCGGAACCCTACCGGACAAATCATTTGCAGAAAGATCCAAAATCTCCAAGCTCTTCATATTTCCTATCCAATCTGGAAGCTTTCCTGTGAACATATTTCCCCTTAAATTAAGAGCTGTACATAAACCCAGTTTCTGCATAGAATCAGGAAGACCTCCACTAAGTGAATTCTCACTGAGATCAACTGATTTCAAAAGCACACAGTTTCCAATGTTTTCAGGCAGCTGACCACTAAAATTATTCTTCCTTAAACTTATTGACCTTAAAGCATACAAATTCTCAAATCCCTTAGGAATCTCACCCTCCAGAAAATTATCAGAAACATCAAATGACCTTAAAGAAGTTAAAGACCATACTCCAAAGGGCAACTGACCAGAAAGCTGGTTGGAGGATAAGTTAACACTCTCCAATGTTGAGCATGTGGTGAGAGAGACAGGGATTAGCCCACTGAGGTTGTTTCTGGCAAACGAAACAACCCGGAGAGATCCACATTGTCTGAAAAATTCTTCAGGGACTGAGCCAGACAAGCTATTTTCACTCAGATCAATCACACTCAAGCTGGGAATTTGGGCAAGAACTGGATTGATATTCCCAGTGAAATTGTTCTTGGACAAAGATAACACTCTCAAGAACTGCAACCTCAAAAGGCCTCTACCTATGTGCCCAGAAAGAAAGAAATTGTCAAGAACAACCTCAGAGACTCTATTGGACTGAGGATCACACTTAATCCCATTCCAGGTACAGGGGCTCTCAGCATCCTCATTCCAAGATTCGAGCTTTGATTCCGGGTCTATAATCCCAGCTTTGAAGACAATCAAACCCAGAACATCATCGTTAAAAGCCGGGTCTAGCGAGAGCACAAGAACCGGAATCAAGAATAAAAAAGCAGTTAAAATATTCAGTAACATTTCCACCCAACACAAAGTTTAAGCAGAAGAGAGAATGACAACAAGAGGAAACATTGGGGGGAGAAGGAGGGGTCTCTTAACTTTCGTAAAGACAAAAACTTTCCTCCGTTAAGCCGGAAATGCAACCGGAAATCAGAAGACTCCGAGCCCAACAACCGCCTGAAAAAAGAAGTTTCTTCCCACAAAAGCAAATTGTTTTGCGGGGCCAATCTCAGAACAAGAATAGCAGTGGGGAGCACAAAAGCGCTTGTCAGCTTGCGTGCTTTTGAGCAAGAGAGAGATGGGTTTAGTGCGCGCCGTCGTGGTTGCTAAACCTGAAACCTCTCCCTTCTCAGAGAGTGAGTTTTTCTTGATTTTTAAAGAAGAAAGAATTAAAAAGCGTGGGGTGAGTAATTATTAGCAGTCCATTCAAAAAAAAAAAAAAAAGGAATTACAGGAAATCTTGAATGGAATAAAGTGGGAAAGTTGAATGGGTATAGATAGATGGAGCAGTTGCGCAGTACATTAATGGCGGCAGAAAAGAGAATGTAACGGCGAAAAAAGGAGAAATTGTCCGTCCTGTGCGTCTTTATTAAGACTGCCCCTTTCTCAGACTCATTTACTCCAACCGCAACATTAATGTCACTATACCTTCCAATTAATTAAACTTTACAATAATTTCTTCTTCTCCCAACTTTACAATAATAATTTCTAAATATATGATCATATACAATATTATGCGTATCAAATAAATCCTCCAACTTAACACAAAAGTGTAATTAAGTTAATAAATTATTAAAAAGTGTAATTAAACATTCTAATTTATTGTTAAAGGCTTTATGGTCATGCGGCATCGTTAGGGCCCCTCAAATGAGAGGTCTCAGATTCAAACTCTAGTGTAAAGGCATTGACTTTCTTTAACTGCCATTACTTTTGTGTAAAGTTGGAGTGCCTATTTGATTATTTTTCTGTCTTTTAACTTATTCAACCAAAAATTACAAGAAAGTAAATCAAGTTAAATTATATGGTCTAATGGTACCCGGGTTGGACTTCCATTTGGAAGGTTATAAGTTCGAGTCTCGGAATGAATAGATACTACAATGTAATAGAGCTAGTAACATTCAAAAGAAAAAAGTTAAATTATATAATCACACAAAAAAATAATTAATAAACACCTTTTTCTAAAAAATTAAAAAAAAAAAAAAAAAACTGAAAATTTTGTGATTAACATATCAATTATCATACACTTCAATATTAAAATGGGATACCCAACCCTTATCTGTTAAAATGGGATACCCAACCCTTATCTGTTAAAATGGGATCCCGAATCCTAAGTACTTGGGCTGATATTCTTTTGATTTGCATTCTTTGTTGACTTTGGTTTTCCCATGACTCATATTTGACTTTAATCCTATATGATTGTGTTCTCTTTGTCCAGAAATATCATCTCCTCTCCACTTGTTTATGCTATAATAGATAGGTTTTTCTTTACTAATCCTATTAATATTGTATGTGTAATAATTATGTCAATCTTGTTTAGGATGAGATTCAATTTAAAATCTTTTTTATTGAACTTATATGATGCATACTTGTTTGTCTATTAAGAGCTTTCTTATTGATTTTCTTTTCCTTTTTTTTTTCATGTTTAAGGTTAATGTGCTAATTTAAAAGAGAGGTGAAATGAGAGAGAATTGTAGAATTCTTCTACTTTGAAATGACACACTTTTTAGAAAATTAAAAATAAACAAGTTGTGCGTTTTCTAGCATGTGCATTTCAAGCGCGAGCTGGACATGTCAGATGGTCGTTAATTTTTTTTTTTTTTCTTTTGCTACTTGACTCCATAAAATCTTCCAAAAATACAAATAAAAACTAATTAACCAACCTTAATGGGATAATATTGCTTGTTAGGTTATATTAATTAGTGGAAAGAATATGTTTGGTATACTCGATCAATGCAAATAGTTGTCTAAGTTTAATCGAAGAGGTTAAAAGATAGTTAAAAATGAATAAAATTTTAACTAAGTACTCTGTAATTTTCTACAAGACTACAGCTACTCGTATTCTTTCGAGTGCTAAATAATTGTGTGCACAAAAAAAAAAAAAAAATTAACTCCTTAAAAAATGTATACAAAAAAATATTATTATTTTTACATTATTAAACTCTATGAGAGAAACCATACAAAACTACGTAGTCAACACATTTATGTACACCCCTCATGTATGTGTGTGGAGTCATTTTTTATCAAGATATTAAATTTAATGATGTATTTCATCTTAATTAAAAAATAATTTAATAATTAAGAAACGCATTTGTGTTAGAAATAACACAATTATACTCCGTATATTATTACTTGTAAAATGTAATAAAAATTTAATGTCACATCGGAAGCATTACATATTGAGCAATTCTCCCACCATAATTGATTCATTAACTTAGTGGTTTGAATTGTTTTATAATGCTATAGAGAAAATGTTTCTCCACCTGACCCTGTGGTGTTGGTTCAACTTTTAGAGCAATGTGTCAATAGTTATCGATCATATTATGGGTTAGCAATTATCAAGTCAGATTCTGATTCTGTATCTATAGTTGACACATTCTTTACCAGTAACTATTATATTATGTGTCAGTAATTATCAAGTTATTTGTTTACATATACAAAAACGATTAATTGTATATATAGAATATGTTAATTGAATGTACAAAATTTTTGTAATAAGATTCAGAACGTAATATGAATCTTGGTCCATGATATAAGAATTGATTGAATATGTTGTGGGTTTTGATAATTAAAGAATTCTCCCAAGCAACGCAAGCTGGTTTGACTAACAGTAACATACGGACAAAGGGGTCGTTTACTTTCTTGGACTTTCTCACAACATTAGCTGCCTTTGTCCTGTCTCCATCAGATGCACAGAATCCTACTCCTAATTCATACTCTATAATAACTATTGAGTTGTTTTTTTTTTGTTTTAAATTAAGAATGTCAATATTCAATAAGTCACTCTTATAGCAAGTGGAACTTAGAACTTTGTGATTACCAAGTCAACAATCAGACCAACTTGACTGTGATTATTCTCAATCACCTCAATTTTGAAAATCTTGGCCATGTCATGGTTCTGAAATTTGGTAAAAGAAATAAATCACAAAATGTATCTTTAGTGTCTACACGTTATTCAAAGCATCCCGCTATTGCCATTAAAATAAAATTCATTAGTCAATCAATTAAACTATATTTTAGATTTTTTTTTTTTGATAACTCAGATTTTCTGACTTCACCGAACTATATTTTGAACCCTGAACCTGCTCTCAAACCTATAAAGAAGTAAATCAAGCTAATCTAACACTTCAGCCCACTAGGAACTCATCTTTAACCCAAATCTCTTATATTTCTGGGTTTTAAGTGAGATTTCTTATCAACTTGATAAGTGGTTTGGAACATTTTTTAAACTGTGATGAGTGGTGGTAAGTGGTTGATTTGATAGTAGCAGGTTTTACAAACAAAAGGGTTCTTGGGATAAAGAAAGATGCAGTGAGCAAGAACATCAAAGAAACTAAGAAAGAAACAAAATCCCAGAAAGAAAAAAATTGGGCAGTCTACAGTGCACAAAAGGTTGGTGGAGCAGCCAATTTTTTCCTTTTAGCAGATTAAAGTATAATAAAAGTTTTAACCTGATACACTAAAATAGTTTAGTGAACAGTGATCCATGTTAGTTGCAGGTTTGGTTCACTTTAATTAATGCCCTTTAATCTCATCATCATATGCTTTTGCTTTGCTTTGATTTGAGTTTTAATCAAACAATACAATTGTGCTTTCACCACTAACCAAACTCATCATAAATGGCTGATGCCACAGGGCCTTAGCTTGTCTCTTAGATTAGATGAAGTTGAGCCATTTAATTCCTTGCGTTTTCAGAGACTGTTTGTGATATATTACTTATTATTGTTGAATTTTACAATGAAAAATTATTTTAACCAAACGATTACACTCGAGCCTCACATGTTATTGTCCAATCGTTATGCCACGGACCCTGTTCAACGTTGTAAATTACAATGTAGATTCTTGAAAATTACAATACGGGACATGGTAAGATGAATATACGTGTTAATTTTTAGTATGCTACATGTTCATATTTACTGTACTGCAAGAGTACAAATACATTTTTAATATATTCAATTATATTTCGATACATGTTCATTTTGAATGTACCATCTAAAAATGAATATGTAGTATGTTAAAAAGAATATTTAGTATATTAAAAATGAATCTACAAACATCAACGATTCATGGTATGATTTGTTGTTCTTGCTCTGAAGTCTTGATCTCGAGAAGTGTTTAAATATAAGCTATTAGGGGCGAGAGTTATTCGCTGAAGTGTTTATCAAGAATTTAGAGAAGCATAGTTATCATTATCAGCTATTTTTAAATGACAGAAACTTATATGAGACGATTCAGGTTTTGATGAAATGTAAAATATATACTAACAAATGTAATAATAATTAAAAATAAAGTGTTTATTATTTATATATAAAAAATATAATACTTTTATATTTTAATGTAAAATATTACGGAGTACTATATTTTTCCCTACAAATAAAAGAAAAAGCATAGAGATTGCAAATGTTGAAGAAAGGGGCATGTCCAAAAAGACATAAAAGAGAAACCGCGTCGTGACATGTTTGGATGTTCCTTTTTTAGGGTCCACCCACCCACCCACCAACCAACCCAAGTCCAATTATTCCTTGCATATAAATATAAGATACATCTACTGGGCTTGTGAATATAATAAGGTCATGGATCAACCATCCCATCACAAATCCTAGAAATGGGCTTATGGATATGGATGTTTTTATATTTGTCCCCTCTCTTAATGTGGCTGCTACAAGAGGCAATTCTTATACCATAAACCAAGGTTCATAGTGCATTGTAGACCCTAATATATGTGTATGTGTCTTATGATCGGAGTTTTTGTGTCTTATGTTATGAAATTTTATACAAAATATGAATACTGTACTTAAAACAAATTAGTAATTATGTCTTATGTTATGAATTTTTGTGTCTTGTGTTGTGAAATTCAGTGTCTATGAACACAAAATTATGTACTTAAATTATATTTAAAAAAAAATAAATATATAATATATGTATGTGTCTTGTGGTATAATTTTCTGTATCTTGTGTTTATGTACCTCGTCGTTTTGATTCATGGTCCATAATACTATGTGAACCTGGTTCATGATATATATTGCCTACAAGATGAGGACTAATAATATCCATATTTCTTCAATCAAATTCTCATATCTGACTGTGGGCCATATAAATGATTGTGCATTATGATTCACACGTGTACAACCCAGTTTCTCTAGCCACCAAAATTTTGGGGGGTTTTCCATGATGAAATGAAATTGGTTGAAAAAAAAATAAATGCTCTTTTAAAGGAAAATGTTGAGCATAAATTAATACAAAATATAGATTGTAGATGAGCACTTCAATACTTAAAAAGGAAAATGACTAGTATACTTTCTGATTGTAGAATTCGTTTAAATTTTATTGGGGGGGGGGGGGGGGGGGTTAAATAAAAATTGTAATTCTTTTTTTTTTTTTTTTTTTTTTGTCTAAATCAATTAGAGCATACTGTCTTGATATGAAGTAAAAAATAAAAGTACATGTATATCGGACTCTAGATATGGGGCGCCCAAGATTAGGAGAAGAGATTAAGCATAAAGATTCATGAATAAATGATAATTAAGAAATAATGAAACAGTAAAAATGGTGATCAATATAATCCTTTTATTGGCACTAAAGATCCTGAGAAATGTTACAATTTTTGAATAGAGTATATGTTCTCAATATTTTCGAAGTTGATCCTTATGTATTAAGCGTTTCTATTTGTACATAAGGAATCTTTGTATTCTAAATCTAGCCAGCAAGTGGCAAGACACTAGTAGATACAGACATGTGCAAATATCAATTTTTAGCTTTGAATTGGGACTCTCAAGTTACGTTCTTGCTCCGATTTAGTTAGTTCCCTAAATTATAAGAGTTGAATCCATTATCAAGATCTCAAAATGGCATTACATTTCCAGATTTAAAAGTGGAACATAAGACTTCACCACAGTGACACTGAAAAAATCCCAACTGTCGACTTCTTTAGAAATTTGACCCTTACCATCTTTGGTCTTTGGTGGTGGTTACACTATACTGCTCATTCGAGCTCGTTACAACCAAGGAAAAGAAATGTACCTCGTATCAGTTGTGGAACACTTCTATTTGTTAACAATGTAAAAATCTGAAATCTGATTTTCACAAGAAACTAATATGCACACTGTTCGTGTAATTTCTCTCCTTGACTCCTCTTCACTTAAACATTAAAGAAACAGTTGAGACTAAAACCTGTATATGCTTGACCAAATCCAGCAATGTTTTCTTCTAAACCTTGGCCATCGTGAATTCGTGATCCAGACCTTCGCTATAATCTCCAATAATCAACTGCTGCTTTGAGTCAGCCCCGGGTTTCCCTAACATGCATAACCGTGTCCATGTCCACAATACCTCGCAGGTTTCACCTGCTGGCAGTGATCAGTTGACATATATCATCTAAACAATTAAAAACAAGAAACCATCAGGGACATATGGAGTATATAAAGTGAAATGGCTATGTAATATGCTATATGCCATCAAGGCATCAACTACTTCATCTCCCAACTGAACGAGGTTTTACAAGATGCAACGATAGGGAAATTTCATGCGAGTGACCAAGAATTAAGAATAAAATGCTTTACCACATAAACTATACAGTGGAATGCCATGGGAAAGCCACGATGGCTAAACTCAAGCAAGAACCATCAAAGTGTAGTTGATCATCAGCTGGTATATTGATCTGTCTAGGACCACAGAGAACCGGGCCTCAATATCTCTGCTTCACTAGCTATCTGTATATCAGAAGGCCAGAAAGTTCGATGTATTGCCTTGAAAATAAAGCGAGGAAGCAACGCCAAAACTATTATAAGTACAATGGTGAGCCAGTAAGTTGGCAACTTAACCAGTTGGTATATTGTACTGCAGAAGACAAAAGTAAATATGTCACTTGCCATCATAAAACCATAATAGTGAAAACGTATGTTGTGATTTGTGAAGCAACAATATATGAAAAGACTAACCCATAATTAGGGAAGATCACTATAGAGTCCACCACCACCATGCAGCCATATGTAATAACAATTGATCCCCAAATTGCAATATGAGTCAATATCAGCCAGCGTTGAACATCCATTGCCAAGTGCATGTTGACCAGGATAACCACTGCAATTGTCCACAAGCTACCCAGACTCCAAATATCAATTGTACTCTCCTTATATGTGAATAAGGGTACATAAAATAGGACAAGACTCTGCCACAGTGTATCAATCATTGTTGCCCAGAAGAGGTACATATTGTAGCTCTCCTGCCTATGGCCAGCGGTATAGAGCTTTGGATACTTCAATAGTGTCCTATCACTTAAATCCTTATCCAAAATACCAATAACTATAGTAGGAATTGAAGTATAAATAAGAGAATAAAAAACACTGCTCCAGTCCGTGAGTGCAGAAGTTGTAGAAAAGGCTGTACACAAAATGTACCTATACATAATAACATAGGTATGAATTAGTTCAGGTCAGATTTAACAGAATGTTTATTAGAAGGATGTGTAATAAACAGAATGTACCAAGTTGAACACAGTGGGCTAAGGATGTGGATAGCCCAATATGTAGTATAGACGCAAACAAAGACAAACTAATGCAAAATGCCAAAACAAAATGGAAATCTTACCAGAAAAGCATCAACACAAAAACAGCATTCCTGTAGAAGTTATACAGAACCAAGTAACCAATTCGCTGATAATTCCAATGCCCGTGCACCAGAAGCAATCTTTTCAGAAAGCGAAATTGTCCCATAGCAAAATCTGATGCCATCACAGCTTGGCGACCCTCCTGACCACATATTCCAACACCGACATCCGCCATTTGGATCATTGAAACATCATTAGCCCCTGCCAAAATTTTACCAGTTGATATTTAAGCAACGCATAGAAGCCTTCCAATCAAGTATATTATTGTATACTGTTATTCACAGCACATCTTAAATTGGGGCACTCAATTTTGACATGAAATATAATTTTAAGGAGAAATTGCAACATCTCACAAAACTTATAGGAGATAAGCAAAATATTACATAAAATTCACCCACTTACCATCACCTATGGCCAATGTCATATCATCAGTGCGGCATTTTATTAGGTCGACAATCCCAGCCTTTTGCAAAGGTGCAACACGACAGCAGAGCACCACTCTACATGAAGTTGCGAGCTCGAATAGCTGTTGACGAATAACATTGTAAAGCGTAAGACATCATCCAAGTAAATCTTGTAAAATTCTCATCACCAACTGAAATTCTGAAACTCTATATATGCAACCAAAACCCACACAATAGGCCAGCAAAAGATCTTACACACAAAACAGATTCAACTAAGAGTTTTCACAAGATTGACAAGAAAAAGAAAAGCACATACCTCACTCTCGAGATCTTTCTCTAAAATGTAAACCAGACTATTTCCATCAATTATGAGTGCTAATGGTAGGCCAGAAAGTCCTCCTTCCTGTCCTGCAAGCTCCTCAGGTAAGTTTGGCAACTTTGCATCAGCTAGAACTTCAGAGTAACCATTGTCAGGGTCACTTTCCCATCTCAGTGTCCGATCATTGGAGCTTAAATTCTTCAACCCATATTTAGCCTTAGCATCAGATATCAGCATTTTGCACTCATCTTCAGAGTGTCCATTTATTATGATCTTATGCATGTCTGAGGTTAGGAGTTTGCAAGAAAGACCAATTGAAATAGCAGTTTCTTGTTTATCACCAGTAAGAACCCACACCTTTATTCCTGCTTGTCGCAGAGATTCAATAGCTTCAGGTACACCCTCTTGCAACCTATCCTCAATAGCAGTTGCCCCTAATAGGGTTAAGTTGCTTTCAATAAACATTGCTGTTTGTCGCAATTTTGCAGATCTGTCAGTCAATGAAGTGCTGGCATCCTCATATAGGCATTGCCACTGCTCAAGTTCTGCACCAGTCAGATCCTTGGCAGCAACTACCAGGGTTCGCAGACCTTCAGAGGAATACTCATTTAAATGATTATGAGTAGCATGCCTAATGCGATCATCTCTTTCATCGTCTTCCTTTAAAATGCTCAACATTGAAGTATCAGCACCTTTAACCAACACCTTTACAGTATTGTTTGGTAATTTGATAACAACAGACATTCTTTTGCGCACACTGTCAAACTCATGCAGTCCCAACACATCCAATCTACATTTGAGTAGACATGGTGAAATGGATACTGATCCATGATCTATAGTGAGGAGGAAGATGAAAAAAGAAAAGGGAACGGCAGATAACTGAGAATAGAATATAGTATTTACTACTTAATGTTAACAGCTAAACGTCCTACAATCCTATAACTTCCATAAACTAAGTACAGAATATTCATCAATTTGTTTTTTTTTTTTTTTTTATAAATGCAAGATATACAGAAAAGTTGAGGTGCTGCAAGTGATGAGGAAGACACAACATAGCATGGTAGTTTGCACTGTAAAATATAATTTGCATCATGACACCAAAAGTATAATTTGCATCATAAATTGCTATTGAGAAACCATTGTCATAAAAGATATTCTTTGCGAGTGGATAATTGAACCAGAATGAGATGAAGTGGAAGCTATCTACCTTAGTTTCTCACCATTGACATCAATTGAAATATGCCCAGAAGTCCGCTCAAAAAGTGTATACCCATAAGCAGAAGCTGCAGCAACCAGTGCTTGTTCATCTGGTGATTCACCCTGATAATCAATGGTGCCTAGAATGCCACTAAACTCATCCTGAGTGATACTTGATGGTGGACTTTGAGTAAGAATAGGAACCACGGTATTGCATGCAGACAATGTCAGAAAGAACTCATGTGCAGCAATCCTTTCTTCCCCAGCTAGACCATTACGTAACAACTCCATAAGTTCAAAATCAGTGGCAATTTCTGACTTAAGCTTCCATCTTCTAGTACAAGGTTGTGCTGCTGGTTCACCTGCACCGGTTCATTCAAAAGAAAGTGTTTGCCAGGTTAATAGGCATGTTTTTTGTGGGGTGGGAGAAAGCAATCCAAGGAAGAAAACAGATAAGGTAACAGAATTGCTTGGATATTACAAAGTTTCCTAACTAGGATACTTTATTTACTGAGCAAAAAAAGTAATCAAAAATATAAAATCATGTCCATAAGTACTCATGAGAGAGGCTTAAGGTGGGCAAATTGCTACAATCAAATGAAAAGCAAAAGGCTCTAATATGGAACCAGTGTTAATAATTTTACAAGTCCTATATAATTGGATATGCAATTGTTGCCATATGCAAAACAACACACGCGCACACACAATTGGTGCCATATGCAAAATAACACACAAACGGAGCTGAGGTTCTGTGTGTTTGAAGAGAGAGAGAGAGAGAGAGACAGAGAGAGAGAGACAGAGACAGACAGACAGACAGACAGAATTCAGAAGTAACAAGTGCACTAGATACAGACAAAGAGGCAACAAAGTAGGTCTACAATCCCTCAGAAAGGACAATCCGCTTGATTCACATTTTCAAAAGCAATTGAGAAGTCATATTATCACATTTGACCTGTGAATGCAAACTAAAACTATCAATCCCATCAAGGACTTGGGAATACTTAGCTATGCTATAAGAAGATGTGAAACTGAGAAAGCATAAAATTTCTTCTCTGTGATGCAAAATTTAAAAGGCTCTCAATTCTCTAGGTGGCAAAATGTCTGAAAGCTGCATTGGAGTCACAATTCTTAGTATTTCATAGATTTTCAAGATTATAGAACCATGGAGTATAGTATGTGTTGTATTCCAAAAGGAAGCCGAAATTAAACCACTTCACTATGTTAAGAAATGTTTCAAATCTGAAACAGTCAAACAGAATATATTGCATCAACTTAACAAAGCAAAATCATGTTAATGCTTGCAAATCTTGAGTTGAAAAATCAGAAAGTTGGCTTCAAAAGTAATATATAAGTGTCTAATCATACCTCCAAGATTGCTAGTGGACAATGGGGATTTTCCATAATTTTTTCCCCATATACTTGCTCTTCTGAATTCCATCTTATTTTCAGTAAGTGTTCCGGTTTTATCTGAAAAAACATACCGTATCTGACCCAAATCCTCATTAATATTCAAGGATCTACACTGAAACCTAGAGTTGGAACTACTGTCGTACATATGCCCGTCTCCGATCATGAAATACGACTGTCCCAATCTTACCAACTCCATAGTGATATAGAGAGAGATAGGTATCATGATCTGAAAGACTATGATGGAACTCAAAAAGGAGAAAAAGGTTTCCATGGGAATCCCATAGTACTTGTATACTTTCTTTCCAATTTTCCCATTATCAAAGTACCTCCGGTAATATGGCAAAGTATCAAGCTGCTCCTTGTAGCGCTTCAGCCATAAACCCATGCCAACTCCTACAACTAGGCACAAGATGAAAAGAAAAATAGATAGCCAAATGGTTTCCCGATTCATGTACGTTTCCAGCCTGCTCCTTTTAGATGGAGATGCTGCACTGTTCAACATAGCTTTAGTCTCTTGCCCAGCATAAACCACCACTCCAATTACCCATTCTGTGTTCTTCAGCTGACATCCACGCAAGATAATATTTGATTGGCTGAGGGAAAACCGATGTCCTTTGAACTCAATGTTTGCTGTGAACTCGTAGATATTCCTGTTAGGCTGTTCACATCTTATAATCCCAGATACTTCTGCCCACTCATCAACTAATGAAGTTGTTTCTTGCCTAGCATACCTTGTCTTCAAGTTTGATTCACCATCTAAATTCATTGTCTGTATATAAGCAATTCCACTATTATCACTTGTCCCTAATAGCACCATGTCACAAGGAATCGTCTCATCAGCACGGATCTTCACAACCTCACCAACACAAATCTTCTTCCATCTTTTCAATTGGAATTCACCAGATTGAAGGACTAGAGCCTCTCGATTATTCTCATTTCGATCTGATCTATGTCTCCTCCAGTCCTCATAACCATCTTTTATAGCTGTCACAGATAGCACAAATAGAAGAGGAAACAGAGACACAGTTCTACCAAATACTGCAAGCGGTGGAAGCTGGTTTAGAGCAGCAATAGCTAGAAAATATAAATAAGCAACTCGGTGGAACTGAATGAAAAGGTTCTTAGGCAAAAAATTAAGTATTGTATACTTGCTAGTTCGAATCTCATTTCCAGTGAATTCAAACTCATCATTGGTCTTCTTTGGATCATTAATATAGATCATCCTTGATTCATGTAACATGTTTTCTTCCAACTGCATACTTTTTTGAAGATGCCTCTGTGATCTGTTTAGCTTTTCAACACGAGATAAAGTCACCTGGGAGGATGCTGCTCGAGATGAAGCCACCTGAGACAGATCACCAGAGATTTCAAAAGTTGCAATATCACTCCGATGGTCCATTACACCACCCCACGATACAAGGCGTTTCCTTTCCCGTGGGGGGCATTCCAGCATATATGGTGGACGGGAGTGAACTTCAACTGAAGAGAACTGCTTTTTCTTAGGATGGGAAGCAGTAGTTCCTAGTGGGGCAAAATCTTCCTTCAGCCAATCGAATTCACTTTCCTGTGCCTCGTCAAAGACTGAAGACCGGCTGTGGCTCAGAATTCCCAAAGTAGAATGTCGGCGCCAATGACGGGGGCGGGGTTGAGACGAAGGCTCAAAAGATGACAATAATGGCTTGCCGGACGTCATAACGAGTCCTCCAAGGGAAACACATCGGAGGATAGCAGAAGTAAAACCCTAACAACAATTGTGATTGCTTGTGGCCTCCACACATTCACTGCCCAGAGAGTATTCCTCCACCTAGTAAGCCAAAAATATAAAACTTTGCCTCTCCAAAATCAATATTTAATTCAACTTATCATTCAAAAATAACAATAATAGGCACCAATGCATATTCTTCCCCCACCAATCCAGGTTTAGAATATATTCTCTGGAAAGGATCAAAGAGTACCCAGAACTGAACCCCTATAGAGAGATGCTGAATTATTTCCTCATTTCAATATAAAACAGGAGTTTCATTTCTATAGATTCTGAAAGGGAAAAAAAAATACATATTTTCGCATTGCATTATTTAAAGACCAAAAAAATATGAACAACCTACCGTAATCCGCCTCAGCTCCAGGAAATGGATAGAGGTTCCGTGCCTGCTAGAAAAATGCAGTAAGCAATTTCACGTGACTGTGGACCAGCAATCTTCTACTCTGCCAAGCAACAAAACTCCACGGCAATCCAGGCAGATAATCCAAAAACTGAATTGCAGAGTGAAAAAATGCCCAAAACTGGGGTCAGGAAAATCATTGCCTCGGTGCGATCACGATTTCAAAAAGTGACAAAATCACAGAGGTGGTACTGGTACCATACTACCATCACAATCATCATCATCATCATCAAACCCAAAAGAAAATACAAATTGAACACCATTGCGGAGCCTAGCCTAACTTTAGTCCATAAATAAATTGGAAAGAGCAATAACCTGGAGCTCTTTAATGTGGCCTGGGAAATGTTGAACACTAGACCGTCCAAACTTCAATGCAGTGAGGAAAGCGAAATCATAGCGAAGGAAATGTCAGATCTGAGAAGGGCGACCTCTGGAACAGCGCCCCCCATTTTTACGCATAAATCTCAGAGCTCATCACTGGTGATCAGCTTTTTTCACCCGCTCAACTGTACGAAACGGAGGTAAAAACAAATCCGATAATTGAATTGCAATGAGCAGTAGTTTGGCGTTGCTGCAGCAATGGTGAAAGAGACGGAGGAGGGAGGAGGGAGGAGGGCGCCGAGACCGAGGAGAGAGACGAGTGAGGAAACACTAATTTTGGGTAATAAATCTCTTTATTACCCAAAAACCTCTCTCTCTCTCTCTCTCTCTCTCTCTCTCTCTCTCTCTCTGTACGTTGTGCTTTGATAATTTGTCTGTCGGTCGCACTCCTCCGTATCCCACCGCTCCTCCTTCCTTTTCTTCTTTGAACCGTTACTTCAACTTTTTATAATTTATTCCTTTGCCTCATTTTTACGTGTTTTATTTACCAAGGATTTATCTTTAAAAAAATATATTATAAATAAATTAAGTAAAGGGAAAAGAATAGACACTTCAACTTTAATCGAATTAAACATTTCAATTTATTATTTTAGTGCATTTAAATTCAATAACTGATAATTTATCTAAAATAATTAGTCGTCAAGATACCGACGATAAAAAAATTTCGCAACTCTTTAAATTTTAAAAAATTAGACAACCGTCGTTGATCGTCTTTTTTACTGGAGAAGACGACCAGACCGTCGAGAGAAAACAAGACTGAGGTCGCCTTCTCCACCAGAGAAGACAACCGGTCGGTTGTCACGTTGTCTTCTCCGGTGGAGAAGACCAGAAAAAGGTGCTGCCATTTTATTTTATTTTTTTTACTGTCACGAACATTTATCAACGGCCATAATTTTATTGGTAACCTATTGATTACCGGTAAATCAAACTTAATTGACTCATTTTGACAATTTTGAGTATTTAATTGCATTTCTTTAAAGTTCAAAGACCTAATCGTACTTTTGAGTAAAGTTTAGTGGCCTAATTTGATCATTTCCTTTACGTAAATTGTTCCCAAATTATAAATTGAGTAAATTAAATGGACGTTTGGTGTCAAAATTTTGAATAATCTCGTCACAAAATGTCGAATAATCTAATACATCCATTTGTAATGATTAGAGGTGTGAAAATAAGGAAAACAAAATTCTAATAACAACCACAATAGTAATTTTTGCTCAATTTTTAATGAGATTTTGACTGAAGTGGAAGAGAGGTAAGAGTTTCCTGCAATAACTGTTTTTTTGCCTATAGGCCCCACCAAATATAAAAAAGGCACGTCATTTCTTGCGTGAGGTGCAACATCAGCGCCCACTGGGCACGTACCATAATTTTTCTTTTCATGAAAACTCATTTTTCTCTTTTTTTGTTTCCTCCCTCATTATCTCCCATTTGCATCTTAAAATTTGTGCAAAAAAAAAAAAAAAAAAAAAACCCAATTATTGAGGATACTCAATGATAATTCAATAGACTTGAGTGCACTTTTACAAATTTAGAAATACAATGTTATGTATTATTGAATGTATTTTTGTTACGTGGGATGCACACACATTTAAGAGCAATACCAACAACTCCTTTTTGAGGGATTTGTATAGAATTTTTTGTTAACATAAGATAAATTTTCTTAATTTTTTATAGAGTTTGAAATTTTGAGAATACAAACAATAAACATGTTTGCCAATATTACTTTGACAAATTGAAAATGGAGAACAATTCACTATTTTATAAATAATTAAAGACATTGTGAACTCTCTTATCTGATTTGAAAAAACACAAGTGTAAACAATAAATGGTAGGTGAGATCATTTGACTTTTTTTTAGTGCTACTGACTATATTACAATGTAGTATCTGTTCATAACTACTTTCTCAACCTATTGAAGCACAAAGAGCCAATAGTCCGCCTCCACTGAGATCATTAGACTTCCAAAGACAATATTTTCAATTCTAAAGTCCAAATATGGTTATCCAGTGCAAGAGTTCTTTGTACTTTTGGTCCCACGACTATAGTGACACTATCAAGATTGATCTGCGATTTTCAAATCGTGCAATTTTAGTCCACGACTATTGTGTTTTGTTGCAAAAATGATCCTTCTGACCAATTTTCCGTCAAAATCTCACCGAGAAAAAATTTATCATTTCAAGCAGAGATAAAATAAACATTTACATTAACATTGCAACCTCGAACCGCTGTTGACATCTTTATTATGACCAAAGTGTGAAAAACCAAACCCCCAAAAAAAAAAAAAAAAAAAAAAAAACAATTGACATAATTTTGAATTAAAAAAATTGCCATAATGGGATATCTAAAGGTACTAAGACTCAGTTATGAAAATTCTATAAACTTTCATAACTTCTAAAAACGATTATTGACTAAATTACTGCATATGAAAAAAATTACATACTAGAAATCTCAAGTTATTCCGTTGGTGAATTTATCATAAAAGCAACATGAGAAATTTGACATAATTTTGTATCTCAAAAGTTCTGGTTTGATTACATTTGTTGCTTAGTAAAGAAAATAGAAAATTAAAAATTGAAAGGATAGTGTGTTTCACACATCTGAAGACAATGGTCATGTGTTTCTTTATTTGTGCTAAGGCTTAAGTTTATTATACGAGAGTCATATTCCTAACAAGCCATACTAAAGTTATTGAAATACTTTAAGAATTGAACAATCTTAAAATAAGAGGTTAATAAGTGAAAAATAATGTTGTGAGAGTGGTTTTGATATAATAAGGAGAATAAAATGTGAATTTTCTACTTTACCCTTCAAATTTTAAATATTTTTTTTTATTTTTTCCGCCAGTTTTAACGATCGGGGACCAAATGCGCCACTTCGTTTATAACTGAGGGACTAAAAATAGATACGATCATAACTCAGAGACTGAGTCAAAACTTGGGTATAACTCAGGGGCTAAAGATGCATTTTTTTCGTCGTTATTATTATTATTAATTATTATTATTAATAATAATTATTAATTATTAATGGAGACGTTTTGAAAAAAAAAAATAGATGTTTTCTCCAAAACGTCACTTGAAAACGCTGTAGAAAACTTTCAAGTTTTAGCGTTTTAAGGTAATCAACTGGCTACTAAACACTTTGGCCATGTTTGGTTAATGGCGGATCCGCCATTTTTTTGGCGGATCCGCCATGTTTGGCGGTTTGACCATGGCAAACCGCCAAAACTAGTGTTTGGTTAGGCAGCGGTTTGCTCCAAACCGCTGCTTTTGCAAACGCTGCAAAGAGCAGCGTTTGCAATGAGCGTTTTGGGGAAAATTTTATTTTCCCCAAAACACCCCTATTTATATAAAAAAAAAAAACAAATAAAAAAAATAATTTTTACAACTTCATAACTGAGGAGCCGTTTCGGCTCCTCAATGTTGCTCATCCACCGAGATGGGCAACAAATTCTATTTTTATGCTTGGACTTGTGGAGCCTTGGGGCTCCTTAAATAGGAGCCTCAAGGCTCCATTCCCACTCCCCCCCCCCCCCCCCCCCCCCCCCCGATGTGGGACGGTGGGAAAAGTGGGAAATCAAGAGGGGAGCAGTCCTTTTTTTTAAAAAAAAAAAATTTTAATTATTTTTTTATTTTATTATTATTATTATTATTATTGAATAACGTTTTATTATTATTATTATTATGTATGCCCTTATGGTCATTTTACATTTTAACCGCTAATCTAAACCGCTAATTTTACCAAATACTTTTTTACAAATCGCTAATACAATCTGCTGGTCAAACTCGCTAATACAATCCGTTATTTGATAACCGCTACCGCTAACCGCTGATAACTAAACAAGCCCTTTGTTTAAGTTTAATCATTCAAAGTTGATAAATCAATTGAAAATTGGTTGTTTAACCGTTTACCAAACACCATTATAACAGATGTTAAAAGTTTTATTCGTTGAAAATTCATATGTTATAAAAAATCGACCCATTTGCAACATTAAAAGTGATGCATTAGTGTTGGCCACGCGCTCATCAATGCATGTCAACTCATTTTAGCCGTGTGACACGTCTCTAGTAGGATGGTGAACAAGCACTTGGTATATAGTACAATGGGCACCACGCTTGATCCACTCTAGCACCCCCCCCCCCCCCCCCCCCCCCCCCCCCCAAATAATAAATATTGTGACATGATAAACAAGCTTATGATAACGCATTTACTGTATTACTAAATTGTATATTTCATGTAGTGTAATGATATCCTGATTATTATTCTAAATAGATTATCCTGATTATTATTCTAAAAAGGGAAAATGATACTTTTTCCTCCTTAGTTATATACTTATAGCATTTTTTCTCCTTAAATTATTGAAGTGGCTGTTTTTCCTCCTGAAATGTTAAATGGACATATTTACCCTTAAACTAAATATTTAATTTATTTTTTTTCTCCAACAAATTATGACCATAATTTGGTTCAAACTAAACAAACAATATAGCAACCAAACCGAAATATTTCAATTACAATTTAGAATCGAAATTCGATATTTAGAGTTTATTAAAATCGTGAACCGGAATGGACGGTTCATGTTCTGAACTGAAAAAATAAAATACATTTATTGTTGAATTTAGACTATTTTAAAATAAAAAAATAAAATTTTAAAATAAAGACGGTTTAAAATTGCGAATCAGATCCGGAACCGCCGGTTCACGATTCAAGATTCAATTTTTTTGATACATAATTTTAATAAATTGACATTTAAATATTGAGTTCTAGATCTGAATTATAACCGTAAACTATTAATTCGATTGCTTTAATATCCGGTTCAATTCAAACCGAACTGTGGTCATCCCTACGTATACGCAATAATTTGTTGGAGTAATAAAATAAAAAAATGTTTACTTTAAGGGTATAAATGTCAATTTAATATATTAGGGGGAAAAGGCACCACTTTTAGAATAACTGAGGGTGCTAATGTGCTTACTTAAATAATTGAGGGGGAAAAATGCTATAAGTATATAACTCAGGGGTAAAAAGTGCTATTTTTCCTTCTAAAAATGTACTATGTTGTAAATAATTATAAATAATTTTTTTTAAAAAGTAATCTATTTCATTTTCCGTCATAGTAGTTGTATTGTAAATTAAAAAATGCAACAAAACAAAATTTATAATGAGTAAAACATGTATAATTTATATTTTAATTTTTACTACTTTGAATTTGCTGGGTCACGAGACTCACGACTAGTACATAATTCCTTAATATAGCACACAATCACACATACACAAGTGAAACTTTGATATTGTAGTTTCATTAGTTGCTCGTTTACCATCAACCTAAAATGTTAAATTAGGCAAAAATTTGAAATAAGACCGTCTCACATATCTCAATTTACGAGATGGGTCGGATCTTTGATTAATGAGATCAAAGATTTGGCCCATTAATTAAAGATATGACCCGTTTCATGATTGAGACCCGTGAGACAGTTTCACACAAACAGAACCGTTTCTAAGAAAATAGTCTATAAAAAATTTATCATTTTAATTTTCACTAGAAAAGTGACATTCTTCTTCTTCGGATATATTTAGATGTAAAATTATTAACCAATCTATTGAGTATTTCTTACAATATACTTGATGGTAAATAAGATTTCAACCACTTCAACTTTAAAAAATTTTTAATCATAAAACAACAGTAATGCAAATAGTCAAGACTATTTGATATTGCAATTGTAGCATCAAAATACAAGAAATTAGATTGTTATTCACCTATCAAAAAATTAAATTCCTAACTGAATTGCTAATTTAAAACTCTGAATAAAATTAATGAATTAAAATATTGGGAAAATGACACTTTTTCCTCCTGTGTTATATATCTATAGCATTTCCCCCCCTAAATTATTGAAGTGGCTGTTTTTCCCCTTAAATGTTAAATGGACATATTTACCCTTAAACTAAATATTTAATTTTTTTTCTCCAACAAATTATGACCATAATTTGGTTCAAACCAAACAAACACTATAGCAACCAAACCGAAATATTTCAATTACAATTTAGAATCGAAATTCGATATTTAGAGTTTATTAAAATCGTGAACCGGAACGGACGGTTCATGTTCCGAACTGAAAAAATAAAATACATTTATTGTTGAATTTATACTATTTTAAAATAAAAAATAAGATTTTAAAATAAAGACGGTTCAAAATCGCGAATCAAATCCGGAACCGCCGGTTCACGGTTCAAGATTCAATTTTTTTGATACATACTTTTAATAAATTGACATTTAAATATTGGGTTCTAGATTTGAATTATAACTGAAAACTATTAATTCGATTGCTTTAGTATCTGGTTCAATTCAAACCGATCCGTGGTCATCCCTACGTATACGCAATAATTTGTTGGAGTAGTAAAATAAATAAAATGTTTACTTTAAGGGTATAAATGTCAATTTAATATATCATGGGGAAAAAGCACCACTTTTAGAATAATTGAGGGGGCTAATGTGCTTACCTAAATAATTGAGGGAGAAAAAGTGCTATAAGTATATAATTCAGAGGCAAAAAGTGTCATTTTCTCTAAAATATTTAACTTACACACTTTCATCTGTGAGGAATAAAAAAATTGAGAATGTCAAATACACAAACAACGCACTTCAAATTAATGATTACTGAGACAGAATTGCTGCGTTGTGAATATAAATCTTGCGTGTATGCATTATAATAGGAATAAGAGTAATGTTTGACTCTTTATATATAATAATTTTACAATAGTCAAATAGGTCCGCTTCAATTTTTATAAATTATAGTACTATAACTTTATATGTAAATCAAATTCTTTGGAATTAGAAATATAAACTTTTTAGAATTTTAGACCGTTTTAATTTCTTCATACATAAGTCAAACCAACATTAAGATATAAAACATAAATATACAATAATATATATATATATATATATATATATATATATATATATATATATATATATATTAATAAAAGTGCCCTCAAAAATTTTGGGGCACAAAGGCTATATGCTTACTTAGAGCCGTCAAAATGGGTTTAGCCCGCCGGACTTTTCCGCCCCGCCCGCCAAAAGGGCGGGGTGAGCTCGTGTTTTTGAATCCCGTTTTAAAAACGGACTTTTTTGCCCGCCCTCCTTAGTCAGCCGGGCTAGTCCGCCAGGCCGCCTCTTTTTTTTTTTTTTTTTTTTTTAATTAATTAATTAATTATATATATATATATATATATATATATATATATATATATATATATATATATATATATATATATATATAATATGTATAATATAATAATATAAATAATAGTGTCGGTTATTCGGTGACCGTGATTATTACACCTTCATAAACGATAAATAACCGAATAGTCGAATAATCGAATTTTTTTTTGTCTTATAACCGATAATCGATCGATAACGAAAATTATCGGTCGGTTCGGTTATCGATTATCAGTTTTTCGATAATTATACTTACCCCTATTGGTGTCATTGTTGTCATAATGTGATGAACGAATTTATGTTATTTTCTTATGAATAAGTGTTTTAAGTAGATAGCAATTAAGTTATTAACATAGTCACATTAGAGTTTAGATTTTATGGACACATCACACATGATTAAAAAAAAAACAGGCGGGCTTTGGCGGGGCACGCAGGCTTAAGGCGGGGCGGGGCGGGCTGCCCCTACCTAGGCCCATATTCTTGGCGGGCTAAACCGCCAGCCTGCATTGACAGCTCTATGCTTACTGTTGCTATACATACATTTGGGGCCCCCAGAATTTGGGGGCCCTGTGCGCAAGCCCTGGCCAAACATGGCTAGGGACGGCCCTGCACACAAATGTAGCCGTTAAATTATTTAAAAGGATAAATGTCAAAGAAGCCTTTGAACTATTCATAAAAGTGTAATTAAGCACTCAAATTATTAAATAACTAAATAAAAAACTCCTATTACACACTTGAACTTAAAAGGTAAATGCAATTAATAATTAATTTCATCTGACCTATTATTGCTTGTAACCTCATAGCACGTTTGGTTCACAGAATGAATTTTGAGGTAATAGGAATGCTATTCCATAAGGAATGGAATATGCAAGGAATAGAATAGGAATTGTATTCTATTGTTTGGTTCGCGGAATGAATAAACTTTAGGAATTATATTACACTGCTTGGTTGATTTAAGGAATAGAAATGAAATATGTTTTAAAAGACATAAATACCCTTATAAAAATATGTGATGGTGGTGGTGGCGGTGGTGGTGGTGGCGGCGGTGGTGGTGGTGGCGATGATGGTGGCGGTGGTGGTGATGGTGGTGGTGGTGGTGGTGCTGGGGTGGTAGTGGCGGTGGCAGTGCTGGGGGCGACGGTGGTGGTGGTGACGGTGACGGTTGTGGCAGTGGTGGTGAGGGCGGCGACGGTGGTGGCGGTGATGGTGCTGGGGTGGTAGTGGTGGTAGCGGTGGTGGCAGTGGTGGGGGTAGCGGTGGTAGTGGGGGCGGCGACAGTTGTGGCGATGGTGGTGGCAGCGGCGGCGACGGTGATGGTGGTGATGGCGACGACGATGGTGAAATATGATAAATTTATATATATGATAAAAAGAATTAGGTTAAAGAAAGGGGTAAAAAAGAAAAATGATTTTAAAATCCTGAGCATTCAGTAATAGGCTAATACCAGGGGGGCCTATTCCGTGAACCAAACGGGCCATCAAAGTTAAAGTTGATTGGAGTGTTACTGACGACTTTAATGCCCAATTTCACATAATATAACAATAATTTATTGGATTTTTTTTTTTAAAGTTTGTGGTCAAGCTTTAAATTTTACTATTATTGATAATAATAATAATAATAATATAATAATAATAATAATAATAATAATAATAATAATATAATAATAATAATAATAATAATAATAATAATAATAATAATCTACAAATTTAATAAGAGCGAATAATGTTAGGCCCTTAACTGGAACAAAAAAAATGTCGGTACTAATTGTTTCTTAACATGAATGGTTCATATTATTTTGATTTTAGTATCTTTTAATGATTTTTCTACAAATCTAAAACTTCATACTCCATAATCTCATTGGATGATGAATCCTTCTATGATACCACCAATAACCCAATTGCACATGACACACTATCAATAACAAAAAAATAAAAATAAAAAAAATAAAGACATGTACTGAAGATGAAAACAATAACAATGCTATCCAAAAGAGAATTAGAAAATTTTAAACCAAAAAGAGTATTTATTTAGACTATCGCTTTTAGACTTAGTACTTAGATTAGTGTTATTACAAAATTGCAAATATTTATTTTTGTGACAGTTATATATAATCAACCTCTCATATATTATCTAGCATTTATATACTTTAAATTACCGGTTTGTAAGATAAATAGTTCATAGCACAACTAAGATCTCAGTCATATATACAACAAAACAAATCTAAAACTTCATACTCCATAATCTCATTGCATGATGAATCCTTCTATGATACCACCAATAACCCAATTGCACATGACACACTACCAATAATAATAATAATAATAATAATAAAGACATGTACTGAAGATGAAAACAATAACAATGCTACCCAAAATAGAATTAGAAAAATTTAAACAAAAAAGAGTATTTATTTAGACTATCGATTTTAAACTTAGTACTTAAGATTAGCGTCATTACAAAGTTGCAAACATTTATTTTGTGACAGTTATATATAATCAACCTCTCATATATTATCTTGCATTTATATACTTTAAATTACCGATTTAAATAAACATCTTCTATATAATATTTTATTAATATATTTTGAAATACTTATTTAAAAATAAGTATTGGGCATTATCCTATTCGCGCAAAGCGCGTAGAAAAACTAGTAATAATAGACATGACAATTTTATTATTTTTATGTAATTTTTTTGTTGAAATGATATGATATCATAATTTTAATTAATTGGAAGGTGAAAAAACTTGATCTAATGGCACATGTTAAATTTGGATTAATTGGAAGGTAGAGAATTGGTGGAACGGTGGGTTCCCCTCTTACGAACGACACGGTCCACCAAGTGGAGAGTATTTAGGTGGTTAGTGGCTACGACGGCCTTCTTCCTTTGACGATCCATCCGTCAAAACCACACATCCCAACACCTCTCTTTTCTTCGCCTTCGCTGCAGCACTCCCAAAGGTTCATTCTTCAATCCCATCCCATGCGTTATTTTCTGATTTCTTTAGATCTGTTTCTTCATCTCTCATGCAATTCAACTCTGAAAACTTTACAAAGTAAAATGAGAAGGGTAATTTGAATCCGAGGGGCATCCTTCTCCTCTTTGTAATCTGGGTCGGATACCCATGGCTTAAAAACTCAGTAGGAAATTCTCAAGTTTTGCTTGTCTGCTTTCAAGGGTAGAAACAATTTTGCACCTTTTTTCTTTGATTAAGCTTTTTGTTGCAAAATTTGACTTAAGGATTGGCGCTTTAGCTTCTAAAGTTCCTAACTTGGACGGATTAATCAATGTATGGCCTGTTAAACTGTTTGAATTTGCTAGTTTGGAGTTTGGATCTGGTTTATGCTACTCTTGGGGGTAGTTTTTTATGGTTCTCTAGTTTCTACTCCCCTTGTCCTGGTAATGTAACATTTATTTTATTTTTGGTGGGAGATGTGGACCTTAAGAGAAACAAGTGTTTACTGGTTTGTAACTGGAAATACATAAACTAAGTACTCTGCATAATATATTGATTCCTATTCAGTTTTGTGGGATAGGTTTTGGGGCCACTGTTTAGGATTATTCCTGTCCTGGTGGGTCAATCCCTTTTTAGGTGTCTCTTTCAGATTTGAGATCAATCATTGTATTCTGCTTTCTTGTTCTCAATTTTACAAATTTGTGATTTTGAATAGGATTTTTTAGAATGTTCTTGAAGGATGTAGTTTGGATACAGTCTTGTCTTGTCCATATGGATTCTATTGTAGGTTTGAAAGTCAATGTAGTTCGGGGCTTCGGGCTAAATGTTGATGGGAGAGAAGTCGAGTATTTTGAGAACAGTTCTATGTTTATGCAACTTGTGCAAGAAATTGATTAGATTAAATATGTTGCATTTGTTATCATAGATTACTAATTTGGAAAAATGTCTGGAGATTTACTGCTATGTCCTCTTTGATATTGAGAAACATAATAAATACGGAGTATTCTATTTTTAATTTTGCCATTGACTTGTATGACAGGTTTGATTTCCGTATCTTGATGAATTCAAGCATTACTGTGGCATCTGTGGTTTCCTCTAAAGTGGGAAACAAGACCGACTTCTTTTTCTGGGTTCTCGCTTGCTTGCTTTTGAAGTGCTTTAAGACCCATACTCTCCACGTAGACCTGTATTTGATTACAGGAATTGAAAGGATATCATTGGTTGTTCTAACTTTTGAACCATTTAGAAAGACTAAGGTGTAGGCTTCTTGGTATCCGGCCATCTGCATCCTTTGACCAGTATCGTTATTTGCAAGCATGGTTTCTTCTCAGCTCCCTTCTGTGGCAAAATCTTACATGCCAAAATCCTTCAGGAATGATTTCCTTCCACCCCTTAGTTCTCCTGATGTTCCCGCAGAGCAGGTTGAGTTGGACTTTTCTGATGTTTTCGGTCCTCTTCCAGTTCAAGCTTTAAACGAACCTAGTAATGGGATATCTGAAGGTACTACCCCACCAGCTAATATGAACGAGCTTGTGTATGATGATCCCGAGGTTATCTGCAACCGATCGCATTCCTTGGTTGGTCCTTCGTCATTTGTAAGTCAATCTTTGAAGCTTGGCAGGCTCACCCTTCATGAAACAGAAGATTCGGTTGAACTGATAGAGAGTTTAATTGGCGAAACAATTAAAGAAGATCAGGAGCTCAATGATTCAATTGCTCAGGAGCCTGATTCTCGGACAATTGGCCTTGAAGATTTTGAAGTCATGAAAGTTGTCGGGCAGGGTGCGTTTGGAAAAGTTTTTCAAGTGAAAAAGAAGGGAACATCAGAAATTTATGCAATGAAGGTCATGAGGAAGGACAAGATTATGGAGAAGAACCATGCAGAATATATGAAAGCAGAGAGGGATATCTTGACAAAGATGGATCACCCCTTTGTTGTCCAGCTTAGATATTCATTTCAGGTAAATTTGAGTAACTTATATCTCTGTTACATGATTTACCTTTTTCTAACACATTCTATAAACTACTACTTTGAGCATTAGCACAGGAATCTTCTTAGAACGTCAAATCTGTATTTCAAAATTTCATTTTCAATATTGCTGTAATTTTCATCGTACAGACAAAATATAGACTTTACCTTGTGCTGGACTTCATTAATGGTGGACACCTATTCTTTCAGCTTTACCGTCAAGGCCTTTTCAGGTATCTTAATTTTCTGTCCCTTGTTACGTTCTTGAGAATTGGGGTTATGATGTAACACTTGTTTGATGTCTCAGAGAGGATCTTGCGCGTATATATACAGCAGAAATCGTATCAGCAGTGTCTCACCTTCATGGAAATGGCATAATGCACAGAGATCTCAAACCAGAAAACATCCTACTGGATGCAGATGGCCATGTATAGTCCCGATCTCTCCTTAGTGTGTCTCCCCCACTATCTCTTCCTAGAGAGAAGTTCTGAAATTTGCATTCGCATTCACACAATTCACATGCTTGTTTGTTATCACTTTGTGATTCCGGTTTATTCCATTTTAGGCCATGCTAACGGACTTTGGACTAGCAAAGGAATTCGAGAAGGATACGAGGTCAAACTCCATGTGTGGAACAGTAGAGTATATGGCACCTGAAATCATTCTTGGGAAAGGCCATGATAAGGCGGCAGATTGGTGGAGCGTTGGAATTCTGTTGTTTGAGATGCTTACTGGAAAGGTATGTTCTCAAACTTTCTTGTTTACAAGAAGGCAAGGAAGGTGGGGGCAACCCCAACCAAGTTGGTCGGGTTGTTGGCTTGGTAACCACAAGGTTTCAAGTTCGACTCCCATTGAGAGCGACTTATTAACTTTCTTGGTTTGAGCCAGTCAGCTATGGGCAACCTAGGCTGGTTTACCTCCTTGCTGGCTAGGGTCACAAGGCAAGGTTAATATTGTTTGAAAACTCAATTCCATTTTTACCTGCTTTTGACATTTTTTGCATGATTTTCAGCCTCCTTTTATTGGCAACAGAGAGAAAGTTCAGCAGAAAATAATTAAGGAGAAACTCAAGATGCCATCGTTTTTGACTAGCGAGGCACATTCTCTACTGAAAGGGGTAATTCCACGTTATAATCTCGTTTTTTTTTTTTTTTGGGGGGGGGGGGGGGTGGGGGGTGGTCAGACCACGAGGTGTCCAGAGCAGGTCCTAACTGTCACCGGCCCGGCCCAATTAAGGGGGAAAGTGCTGGCCATATTGTTTTTTCCATACGAGGGGGTTTGAACTCCCGACCTCTCTTAAGGGATAAGAGTGTATTTTTAACCTGACCAAGCTGGTTACGTTATAATCCCGTTTAGTGTTTTTAAACTGCGTTTCACTCTACCAGTTAGTATCCAAAGGCTCGTATTATGAAGTCTGCAAAAACATCAATGCCTTTCGTTTCTAAATTGGATCAACAAATGTCGTGTTCTAATTGAGTTATACTCCCTTTGTTTGGCTAACACTTTCCATTACCATAATATTAACAAAGCTTCTCCTATATCTTTAGCTACTGTCAAAGGACCCCAGTAAACGCCTGGGCAGTGGGCCGAAGGGAGGTGATGAAATAAAGGGGCATAAATGGTTCAGGCCGATCAACTGGAGGAGATTAGAGGCCAGGGAAGTACAACCTAGTTTTCGTCCCGAAGTTGCTGGAAAGCACTGCATCGCCAACTTTGACAAGTGCTGGACCGATATGCCCCTGCAGGACTCTCCGGTTTCCAGTCCTAATGGCGATCACTTTCAGGGATTCACCTACGTCAGACCCGCGGCCTCCTTCCTTCAAAACAGTAGCCCTTTCTGCTAATATGCATTCATTCCATTGACAAGGATTTCGACATTTGCTTCCCTTTCTCAGTAAATTATGATGGCTTAATAGGAGCATTGAATTTGATTGTCTCAGCTTTAATTTCTGGTTTAGATTTCCTACCACCTATGATTTAGGTGCTTGTTTGACATGTCTTTTTGGTACCTAATAACGTTGTTCTTTTCAGCAATGCTTAGTGATGTTTTTACTTAATGATTTGGAGCTTGTTAGTCACTTTTTGTTCCCTACTCCCAAGTAGATGCTTTTATTTATTTATTTAATTTTTGTGATAAGAATTATTTATTTATTTAATTTTGGGATAACGTTTTTAAATATATAAATTTTATATACTAACACTACTAAATATTATAGGACAATTTCTTCTGTCCAAACAAATGAGAAGTCAAGATTTAACACTTCAAATCATAAATTACAGAACATATATGACTTTATTATTGTTCAGATCATATTACATGAACCCAGTATTAATCACAGATGATCCATGATGGTGGATAATCATTACAGTATATAAGTGATTCTAAAGCTCATCACGGCCAAGGAAAGTATCCAGCACCTGCTTCTTCTTGCAACCCCAGTGGCATTTCCATGAACACAGGGAGTTGAAAGCTCTGAGCCTCTTGGAATGCAGAGAGATAATGTCCGATGTGGAGGCAGATTTTGAGAGAACTATTGCGTACCCATCGTCCATGTACTCTGTTCCTTCAGGGAAGAGCTGCCACAGAAGGGCGCCGGCGCCCCCACCGCCTTTCTTGGTGGAGTTCAAGATGCTCTTGTACACGGTGCTGAGAATGGTGTCTCTGTAAGTGGCGTTGAAGCCGGGATCTTTCGTGCAGACGCCGAACTCGGCGAAGATGATCGGCATTCCCAGGTAGCTCTCGGCGTCTTCGATGTGGGATTGCATCCATGTCTTGGTGAACTCCACATGGGCATCTGTTATGTTCTGTGAAATCCTTCACACCAAATGAAACAGATGTTCAGAAATGCGTTCTGTCTCAACTAAAAACCGAGCTAAGTTATGGACACTCATTCATGCAGAAGGAAGAAATAAGGAAGAATGCTTTATTCATAGCTATAGAGTTTGTTACAGAAGGAAGAATATATGTTATGCTGTGACAAAAGGTAGTAATATAAATGCTATTCCTCACCAAGTGTCTGGGTAGATGTGGGCAGAAGCAAAATCAACTCCAAGAGCCATATGATTTCTGATGAAGTCTGTTCCAACTTGTGTGGCATAGGTGTTGGGGTTGAATTGAGCCCGGTTCGGCGTTGAAGGGCCATAGAAACCCTCCAACCCAATCTCCACAAGATGCTTTGGATCAATGCTCTTCACAAAGACTGCCATTTCTTGTATCCAGTTCTGCAGTAACATAACCATTCCAGTTTTGGTTTGAAAATCATGCATATTGAGGTTTTCTACCAACCGTCTAACTAAAAGTCTGAGTTGATAGTTGGATTGAACGTTACTCTACAAGGATAGAACAAACCTGCAGTTTATCTCCCGAGGGGTCTGATTCGCAGCGGGGCTCATTCATCAGCTCCCACGCGAAAATTGTAGGATCGTCTTTGTAGGTAATGTTGTTGACAGTGTTTACTCTGTTAAGCACAGCCTTCAAACAAGACATTTTTTTGGGGAGATTCTGTCAAATGTTTCAATCAAATCATGACTAAGATACATTAATCATGTTTAAGGTTACCTTAATATGGGATTTGAAGTATCCTTTGAGAGTGGGATGGGAGAAGAAGTCATCATCAGAAGTCAAATTCAGGCCTGCATCTTTTCCCCATTTCACATACTGCTTTTTGCCACCATAGGCTTCCCAGTTGTTAGCGAAGGACAGTATAAGCCTGACTTTGTACTTCTTTGCTTCGCTCACGACGAAATCCAACGCCTAAAACCCGAAAAAACAAGCACATTCTTAGCAGATGAATGGTTTATTAACCAAACCGAAATTGCAGTTTTAACATATGAGTTTATAAGGTCATGAGTTAGACTAGCTAATTGGTTGGATTCAATCTGAAGACCTTGAAGACATCTTCATCGTAAACTCCAGGCGTTTTCTGGAGAGCCCTCCACTGGCCATCATTGAAAGCCCAAGTGCGGCACACTGTCATGCCTACAGACGACGCCTGCTTAAACACCTCGGTCACTTTCCCCCGGGTCGACTGGTCTGCTGCAAACACCATTAGCCAGTAAGTGTTGAAGCCATTCACATAGAAGGGCTGGCCATTCGCCACAAACTGGTTCCCGCTCTTCTGCACCATCGTCCACTCGTCTTCCATCTCACCCCCGCGGTAACTCCTGCAAACAACACACAATTAAGCAAAACGAGCCTAATTAAGCACCCGAACCCATCACAGAAAACCAAAAGCCCGTTACCAATCCCGTTCTGCACTATCCCATGCCTCAAAACTATCACTCTTGGTGTCTGTCAATAAATACGAGTTTGACATTGCGATAAGTACTGTAAACATAACAGCCAGAAGCTGAACTTTGCAACTAAATTTAACTTGATGCTTTGCCATTTCTCAATATATTGGATTCTACATTGGGAAAGATCACTATATATATATACATATACTTCCATGTCTACACTACGTCTACTACTACGTGTGAGCAACAAGTTAATGTTGCAGAGAAGTGCCAATGCAGAAAGCTATAGCTACCTTTAAAGCAAAGATCCACTGATCCAATTTTGCTCAAGATTTCAACAGATTAAAACAAATGGTGGGACAAGATTTCTTCGATTATTCCTCTTTAAAGAAACAGTCAATTTTTTTTTTTAAACACTACGAATTTAAGGATAAAAAGGATGCAGCATAAGCAATCTACATTTAATTTCCTTAAAACTTATGATGTCTGTTTTCTTTGTGCAGCTCATATGTCTCGATCAACAGGCAATGTTTGGAGAGAATTCTGAAATTCTGAAACTAAACTAATTGTTTCCCATCACTCTATGCTACCTGTGAAATTGACATTGCCACTTTGCTTCAAAGGATAACCTTTGCAGCACACAGAAGACTTAACTAACTTGGAGTACAATCATTAACATGTTTTCTTAATCCCTTCAAATTGACATACAAGATAATCACAAACCAGTTTCTAACTTCAAAGAATCACTTCCTGGTTTGCTGCAACACAATCATGACAGTGGCATATATACCATTTCATGCAAGAAAATCAGTCAAGCTGCAGTGGCATATATACTGCTGGGTTTTTGTGATCCATACTTTCATGGGTCATTTTCTTTCTTTGTGACTAGGAAACCCACAGCCACTAACCGAGAGTGGGGTAAATCCGCCTTGTGACCCACCACAATGAGGTAAATCAGCCTAGGTTGTCCATAGTTGATCGCTTCAAACCAAGAAAGTCAATAAGTTGCTTCCACACGGAGTCGAACTTAAAAACTTATGGTTACCAAACTAACCAACTACAAGGAGATAAATCAGTTTAAATTGCTCATAACTGACCGGCTCCAAAAATTTTTTTTAAAAAAAAAACGAATAAACTGCTTCCCGTGAGAGTCGAACTTAAAAATTTGTGGTGATCAAACTTACGAAAGACCAACTTGATTATGGTTGTCCCCTCATGGGTCATTTTCATTCAGTGAACAGATATGAGAGAAAATTCAGCTGAAAAATAATCAAAGAAAAAATATATATACACAGCTCTCTCTCTCTCTCTCTCTATATATATATATACCTGAGCAACTGGTTCAAAAGGAGATGTGACATTCTGATCAACAATTGAAAGCCTCTCCAGAGATGGGTTCTGGTGGAAGAACAGCAGCAGTAACTGAATTTCTTGTGCTTACTGAGACCCATTACTGGTTACTGTGTATCTGTATTTATATTTTTAGTTTTCTGAAACCCAAGAGCTGAGCTTACAATGTACAGTTGAAGTTGCTTGGTTATAACCCTGTATTGGAAAAAATCAAAACTACGACGTCAGTAATTGCGGAAATAGTTGCTAAAATAACTATCTTTCCTAACAGAAATTGGGGCTGCTGATTTCTGCAACGATGAGTAATGAGCAAGAAGATACAGATGTCCTAAAGTGGCTGCAGTGTGGCGTGTCACGACACAAAGTTCATGCACTATACTTATGTTGTTTCAAATTGAACTTTCTTCCTTCTTTTATATGAATTATAATTATAATATGGACTACTTAGTATTTTATATGGGCTATGCACATATATGTGAAATATTAATACTCAATATTTAAATTTTAATTATATTAAAATATACTTTTTTTTTGAGTTAATTTTATTTTTGGTCCTAGATTTATGGGTGGTAATTCACATTAAGTCTTTTTTTTTTATTAGAACATTCACTTTTGGTTTTAATATTATTGTGGAATGACCATTTTTTTGTCCTTTATCAACAAAATATTTTAAATATTGTTAAATATAAGGGTATTTCAGTCTTCAATTATGATTTTTTTTTCAAAAAAATAAACATAAAATATATAATAGTTCAACCTAATTTGTATAAAAAAAAATTGAAATACCTTTGTATTTAACGACATTTAAACGATTTTGTTGAGGGATGACTAAAAATGGTCATACGGTCATACCACAATAATACTAGGACTAAATGAGTATGTTCTAATAGTAATAAAAAAAAAAGACTAAAAGTGAACTGTCACATATAAATCTAGGACAAAAAATAAAATTAATCTTTTTTTTTTTTTTTTATATTTATAGTTGTAGAATTTATAGTTATAAAGTCAGCATATCATGTCATCATTGAAAGACAAATAATTATGATATGATTAATAGTGTTAAAATAAAAATATTAGATATGATAAAATATTAAATATAAATATGGTAATATTTAATTAAAATTTATATAAAATTAAATTTATTTCTTATATTATTTCAATATATAATGTCTATACACATTATTACCATTGAAGATTATATATAAGAAAATATATTGTATATGCATGTGCATGGTAATAATTATATATAAAAAAATAATAAAAAAATAGAGATAAATAAGAGGTATAACATAGATTGAGACTTATTATGATTTTAGAAATAAATTTTATTTTTAGTGTGAGGAGATATCAACTAATTTTAGGGAGGTCAATGGAGCTAGTTTGTTCGGTCTTAGATATATTGATTTAAATTAAATTTATTGATTTTGGTTGATTTAAAATTTTCTGTTCTAATCCTACAACTTCGGGTTATCATATTTATCATATGAGTTCAACTAAAACTGTTGCCATTTTCAAAATAACATTTTAAACTCTCAATTTTAATAAATTAACACATTTACTTTTTACACTAATAAATATAAACTTATATAGTTATATATCATTCAATCAATCTAAATCTCAATTACAAATTCTAATTAAATTAATTAATTAATTAATTAATGACAAGCGCCTTGTTACTTGATACATCATTGTCTATTTCTATAAGGGAGGTTACAAGTTCAAATCTTATCCCAATTCAAGTTGATATGAATATGTTAGAGTTTACTCAAAAATTAAAAATAATTAATATATTTATGCTACAATATACTAATTATAATAAGTTTTCTTTTTGTTTTCATTAAAAATATTTAATTTTGTAAGAAATTTATTAAAATTTTATTTATAAATTTAATTAAAAAAATATTAAAGATGATGTTACATAAAAACTTTCTATATATTTTGTTCCACTATACTTTGAGCTAACTCCGAATTAAAAAGTAAAATAGCTTTTCCTCTTAAAAAAATCGATAAGAACGATGCGACATATCTAATTTTGTTTTTGTTTTTTGTTTTTTTTTTTTTTTAAAGTTTGATAGAGATCAAAATGGCGGCGTAATGTAAGACAAAAGACTATACTTTTGTCTTTATTGGGTCCAGAAGAGGAAATTAAAATGGAACATATATACTAACTGATAAGTAAGGAATTTAACTTTTTTTTTTTATTATTATAAGGAAGGGAATACCCTACATATACACACTATTGTCTCAATTGAGGTTCAAACCTTACACCTCCCACTTAGGGGAGCAATCCGATACCAATGAACTACAAGCCACTTAGTTAAGAAATTTAACTTTAATAAGTCCAAATGATAGAACTGCACCGAATTGAAGTTGAACTGCTTGACCTTTTGTCGGAATAAAGATTTGAAATACTAATAATTTTACAACCTCTTTCTGTTATGAAATAATAATTTTACAACCTCTTTCTGTTATTATGAAATAATAATGTTACAACTTCTTTATATTATTTCATTCCTACTGAGTTTATTTAACGAGAATTAAACTTGTTTATTTTAATTTTAATTTTTTTTTTATTTTTCGTTTCTCAAGTTTTCACCCACAAGGCTACCCCGCAAATTATTATGTGGATCTATGTTCAAATATTCATAATTTACATACTAAATGTTCACAATTTGTATACTACAAACACACAATATTAACATATATATAATTGATTACCTTGTTTTGTATTCACAAGTTCCTTTCAAATACTGCAGTTACACAACATTAACATATTAGGATTTTATGATCCTGTATTGTATTCACAAATTCCTTCTACAATCGTTATGTGTTTTGACTTAGAAATCCAATTTATATTCTAGAAGTTCACAATTCTAATACTAAAAACAAATAATTTATATATCGTTTAGGATCAGGGTCCACCTTGCAAGGTGGAACCTAGTCCATGGTATAACAACTCAGGCTACTCCATTCGGGCTGATGTAGTATTTTATAATGGGTCTTTAGTGATTGGGTTATCTGTACGTTTGTCTTTTCTAATATACTCCGTACAAAATATCCATTGTTGAATTGGATCACAACTGGAGGTATAGCCCAAGTTAACAAATCACAGCCCAATTACTTCTATATGGTTATACCTTGATAAAGTTGGGCTTTAAAGTATCCCAGCCCAATCCAGCGCGGCCCACTATTCTTCCCGCCGGAATCTTCTAGGCCCCACATAACGTGATAAGCATAAATGAAAGTTGATGTTATTTGGAAAAAGGGCCCACAGTCCAGCCTTTTGCCAACTCAACCCCTTCAAAATCATATAATAATTAGAAAATGCGGCGTAATTTAAAATGACGTGAGTATTAAATTAATAATTATTCAATTTGTTTTTTTTTTTTCTCTCATCTAATTATTAAAATTTTTAAAAATTTAACATATTTTATCCACATAAGTAACAATCATATTCGATAATATTATGTATGACATACATTATTATAATCGGATATTATTGATAATAGTGTTTAAATAATACATACATATACATAATTATACAATGTATTCTATTTAGTATTGATAAAGATCTTGTTTGGTAACATATGTAGTTTATCAGTCAATTTTAACTTATTTGACTATTATTAAATGTTTGATTTGATTAAACAGTCAATATAAGTGTTTAATTGATTAATTTTTTGTAACAACTTATTATTTTACAATTTAAAATTCAAAAATTTGTTTAAAGTAATTTTTTTCGATTAATTTTTTTTTTAAAATCATTTTACATATAATTAGCTATCAACTAACAGTTTATTTATTAAATATTTTTCTACAATAA